GTGGATATATGTACATATGTGTTATCTATTTATTATATTTAGGGGGCATAGTTTTAATAACTTCCATAAGTGTTTGTGTGTTTACGCTTCATGCTATTACTAGTGGTCACTATTGTGATTTGACTTTTATTCATGTATGTACTATTGGCTCTACATTGCTGAGCTGGCATCCAACTATTAGGCGTTCGTGCGCAAGACTGAAAGCCCTGGGTTTGAATCCTGCAGGTGGAATCGTGGGTGCTCACCGCCACTGAGTAGTCCCATAATAGAACGAAACGGCCGTCCAGTGCTTTCAGGTTTTCAATGGTGGTCTAACATCAATCTATTCATGACCTCGATCGAAAATATAATAATCTGCACAACTTTATATTGTCAAACAGTTTAATTTAAACAATATGAATAGAAATAAATAAACAAATAAGAATCTATAAATTAGAGTTAAATAGTGATCTAATCGGAATAAAATTCTACTTTTTTTTCTAAAAACAAAAACACTACTAAAATTAGCAAGACGGTAGGGAATATACACATTTTACTGTACAATATTTAAATTAAATTGAGGTGTTTTTTTTTAAAGAAAAGTGTTTTTACATGAAGGTACCTATATGTAAAATCCAACTCACACGTCCTCGTCTTACCTACTGGATAGTGGGACTTGTCCCATGAATTAACGTGAGCGGTAAACTGGGTGGTAGAGATCAGACTAATGTACTACTTGACCGATACCCCTAAACCATGACTAGTGCTATGAAGAAAAATAGCACAGCTTTAACTGCAAAAATAGCTATCACGCCCCGGTAGTTGTGCTGTGCTTCGATGTAGCCACTTCTCCATAAAGGCCTGCTAGGCTTCACCAATTCATTTTATCTGGAACGGGAGGACTATTATTAGTTTATTGATTAAAGCTTATTCAGTAAAATAGCTGAACTAACTTTGTTGATACGGTCATCACAGACAAAAAAACATTGATTTCATCTAATGGAGCAGCAAGAAATTAAGTTTCCACTACCCCACTACCGCTCTTTGCATATTTTCCTGTTTCACTTAATAATATTATAGTCTTCTGTAGACATTGTATAATCTTATCATCCAGCACCGATCAAATCAATTTTATATAATAAATCAATATGATTTTATGTTTGATCGTAAAGTTTTCATCATATCAACCAACATAATCATTTCAAATTAGAAGCTATTCAATGATCATTATTTCATATTTTTTTAAATAATGCCTCAATCTAGAAGGAAATCAAAATATTTTCACGCTTTGTAATGCAAACATATTACTAGTATATGTTAAGAGTGAAACGAATACCATCAAATAGAATGTAATGTTCATCTTTTAACATTGAAAGTTGATCGAATTGGAAAAGCTCCTTGGTTCGACTTAAGACAGTGTCTCAGTCAGTCAGTTACAACGTATGGCCAAGCACATATATGCATCGGTACAAGTTGTCATACCTCATTAGCACAACAACATGAACAGCAAATTCATAGAATTAGTTAATTCAGTGGTGATAATATACAAAAGAAAGATTGCATAAAAGGATATAGTACAGGAAGAAAGAATTAGTTGGTAGGAAGCTATAAAGTGAATTTAATCTCACAATTTAAGGGAGGACAAAGAGTGTATACACCTACGCCATTGTGATCGATTTTGAGCCATGTCACACACAGTCTCCAACCATTGGTTACGATAGTGTGATAACAGGTGCATTACTTTTTGATAAGAATAATAAAGGCTCAAATCAGTGTTACATAATCGGAAATAGGTCAATGATTAGAAAGATATAGACAGTGAAATAACTTTGATAAAATTATAAGATGACGTAATAAGTAATGTTCAGATAATTGGAACGTGAAACGTATACTTGAGAGAAAATAAAATAAAATGGTAGGAGGGGGTGAAGAAAAATAATAAACGAAGAGAAAGTTTGAAAAAAATAGTAAATAAATTCATTTATTAAGGCGGAGGGTGTTACAAATTGCTTCTGAACACGAAGACTTGGCTTATTGACTCGAATTCCTATGGCTTCCGCTATGTGTAAGAGACGAGATCGAACACCATCAGGAAAACTAGTAGGAATACGATAAATAATTTTAAATAATTATCAAAATGGGTTTTGTGGAGATTTTAGAAATTTCACAGATTGAAATCATGAGTCAGTTGAAGCTAGACCACCATTGAAAACCTGGAAGCACTGGACGGCCGTTTCGTCCTAGTATGGGACTCCTCAGCAGTGCGCATCCACGACCCCACACCACCCGGGCTCGAACCCAGGACCTACTGGCTTCGCGCGCGAGCACTCAACCACTAGACCACTGAGCCGGCATCCAACGGTGTTAATGTCTGTGAAATTTCTAAAATCTCCACAAAACCCACAAAATCCACATCACCTGCTCACTAGTGACTGACTTCAGGAGACACTTCTGGAGTTCTAGTGAGAAGTCGTTACCAGTGGAGTTCAACCAGGTCTGTTGTGAGATAGGAACTCACTGAGGACAATGGTGTACGGTAGCGCAACTTCGTGGATTGGTTGAAGTTAGACATTAACATCGTTGGATGCCGGCTCAGTGGTCTAATGGTTAAGTGCTCGCGCGCGAAGCCAGTAGGTCCTGGGTTCGAGCCCCGGGTGGTGCGGGGCCGTGGATGCGCACTGCTGAGGGGTCCCATACTAGGACGAAACGGCCGTCCAGTGCTTCCAGGTTCTCAATGGTGTTCTAGCTTCAACTGACTCATGATTTCAATCTGTGAAATTTTAAATAACTTGTTTCTGTTCACTACATGACCGCTATCAATCAAGTGTGATAGAACGGAGCTGTGTATTGTCTTGACGTTACTTTATCCTAACCACGAAGGGAGGTGTTCACTAAATCTTTGGTTCAGTTGCCTGGTAGTGCGCCAAATATAGCTTTCTCCACAGGAGCAGCTGAATTTGTATATACACATAGAAGTGGCATAACCAGGTAACTTATTCTTCAGTTGGAGGGTCACCATAGATCAAGTCGAATACGATAGACAGAGGTTGGCAGCATTAAACGTTCTTTTTACTGCTCTAGTCAGTCTGTTATGTAATACGTCACCATCGAATTGCAGTTTCAAGAAAAGAGGTTTCTTATTAGCCGTTAGTGTTACTAACGCGGTCTTAAACCTAGTGAGTTCATCGGGAAAAGTAGACACCAAATCTGTTGTTTGCTTAAATAGATTTTCAAACTGTACATCTGTGTCGAATTCGTTTATTTTATTTCTAAAGCCTGATGAGGATTTAATCGAAAACAATATTGTCCGCTTATATCTATGTTGTTCTTAATTTACAATATGGGAATATTTCAAATTTTAAATTTATTCTGTTTCTCAAGAATTAGAGGAATGTGACAAGTAAATATAACAGTTTGATTGTATAGTTTTTGTTTTATCGAATATATACCTGCGATAAATGTGAACTCAGGTGGGAGACATACAGTTTATTCTGTAATGCAAAATTACAAATTTCTTTGGTAAATAGTGAAAACCATACATTAAATACTTTATTTGTTAATCTTTCATCAATTGTCCTGTACATAATTCATAATTCTTCCACTTCTCAATTCTTTTTTGTTTTCTTCAATCCGATCTTCTTAGCCTTTTACTAACAGCCATTCAACTTTTGATTGGTGTTACATACCACACACTTTTTCTATCCAACTACAAATTAAACTTATTCTCATATGAATCACACTAAATAATTGTCAGTTAGAGGAAGTTTATGATTTGACTCTGTACTCTTTAATTTGTTTACCTTCTATTTTCCTTTATCCTATCAATATTCTAGCTTCTTTAATATATCGACACAATGTGAATACGCAATACATAGATAGGTACGAGACACGTTTAATAATTCTATTAATACGTACGTGTATAATTCAAATGGGGAAAATTTATTGTGTAATGCGAATTCGCTCAATGGCTTCGAGATATATGAAACTCATACATCAGATACATCACTTCCACATCTTCTTTAGGCTGTCTTTCACATACTCCGTTATTCCTTCGATTCTGTTGTCATTTTGATTGCTCTTCGATTTCCTTTCTCTTTTCTTCATCTCCATCTTCTGCTTCCCTATATCCCTTATCCGATTGCGCCTGCATACTACTTATATCTGATAGCATAAGTAGCATGCACTTCAGTAGCGTTGAATTTGTTCATTCTGTGATTATACTAAATTACTTGAATGTTACACCAGTTGTGGTTCGGAATTTCAGTGTAACACTTCCATACATTTCCTTAGTTCAGGTTTTAAAGTACATGTGGATTATAATTCGTAGTGGAATCTAGAATATGCGTTTTGTCCTATTTATGACTCGTCAACTGCACATATCTGTATCACAGTGTTTGTATTCACACTGAAGCTAGAACCCAGTAACTTTCACTTCTGACGATTAATGCGTTATCCGATAAGGCAGTGAATGGATATTATAAATAATAGCAATAATAATAGACACCCGCACTTCTAGTATGAAACTTCAGACCGGTTGAAAAATTTAGTGTTTGGTTAATGGTTATCTGAACGCAGCAGATGATGGGTTGGCATTTAAGGCGAAAATACCCAAGTTCATATTTCAATATTAGCTTCAACATCAAGGTACAGGTAGGTACACTCAAATGATGAGTTTGAAATAGTGCGAAATACCTGTCATGGATTTTATTGTTATTCGCAATTCATATGCTCTAAACCTTAGCTACATCAAGGCATGCCATTGAGGATACACATCTATCAGCAAATATTGATCATACACAATTTAATTATTAAACCTGATTGAGAAAATTATTTATCCATTATAAAGTGAAATTAAACTCTTTAACGTTTAATATTTGAATTATTAGTCAGTTACAACTGCCTTTCCTACGAAAAAAATAATTACAAACCAGCACTGAACTATGCACTTAATTGTGTCGTTAAAAGTATTCAGTTTTTTTTCAATTTTCCTATATTCATTCATGTGTTTGTATATTGAATAGATGGTGCTAAGTCATCAAAACAGTCAATATCATCGACTAGTCAAAATGCTAAAGAAAAATCTCTACGTCCCAATCGTTCGTCATCATCATCACCGACATCACGATTTGTCTGTCGTTCACCGAATCCTTTCTCTAAACCAATCTCTCCAAATAATAATAATGATACCATGATAGATATCAATATGGAAAGTGAGAATGCAGTAAATGTAATCACTGATGAGTTATCGGACACCACCACCACGACAACAATATCAACAACAACTGGAACACTGACACCAACCATAACAAATACAATTTTTAATAAAACATTATTTACTAATGATGCCAGCATTAATCATCATACAAATACTGTAACAATTAATAATTTTTCTTTGAATCCAATTGAAGTAGCAAATGCTGCCAAAGTTGCTTTACTTATGGCACATCCATTAGAAGAACCAAAACGTGTAGCATGTGCTATCTGTGCGAAACGTTTTAAAAATCAATCTGCTCTAAATGGTCATATGCGATTACATGGTGGTTATGGACCGGCTGGTTTGATTGGTGGGAATAACACCTCCACCACCACGACAACGACAGCAGTAACAACGACATCACTATCAAATCAAACCTATACTGCTACTACTACTATTGATTGCAGTAGTAATGATAATCAAGAAAGTAATAAAGCAATACATTTTAATTTATTTCAAACAAGCTCTGGTCATATAAAGAAAAATAACAATGTTTCAGATTCCAAGAAAAAAGGCTACTCAACATCTAGTGATATAGACTCTTTGAAGTCGTTCAGTTTAAAATCTCATTCAAAGGCTTTTACAGTAAGCATATTTTTGTTGGTACTAGTTCATTTGATGGTTAGCTGATCGGTGGTAGCGATATAAAATCTAATGTTGTAGCATTAATAATAAATGAAAGATTGTATAGGTTACAGCTAACAGCAAAATTTGACCTAACGCCTCCTCGCGGTGCTGCTGAATGGTACGGGCAACCTTGCTACCCAACTTAAGCGGTCAACGGAGATCGAACTGATCACCCACTCTGTTATATCCTTGATCAACTCAGGTTCTGCTCGAGGCTCTCTTGATCACACGGGGGGCACCTGATATGTCTGTTCATGTATAAGAAATGCAGTAGTCCTCAGGCCTTCGTAGTCCAAGTATGTAGGTATATGCAAACGGTGTGCAAAGGAAACGTTTGCTGAAATCTTGTCGACCCCATGTCTAGTAAAATCTACGGCCTAAGCTATCAGGTCTAATACATAATCAGAAGATAGGGTAGCAATTACTAAGAAGGGGCCAACAAATACTTTCCCTGAGGGGATGATTATGCTTATATATGTCAGGAAGTACTTGGGCGGTAAACATACCTATACCTATATGTGTGCTATGAGATGCGTGGGATAAAACCTGTTTGCCTGTAACGTATATTTGCTCACAGGGTAGGTATACTTGTATGTATATCAAAGGATACTCGGATGAAAGTCCATGTGTTACCTAGTGTGCATGTAGACTATATCTATCCAGGATAAGTGAAATCTTCAAATATCCTTCACTTGCTCTTCCTACGATACCGAAATACACGCATAGATCTGCTGGACCGCGGTTACCCCACAAAACCAAATTCGCGCGGTGAGTTTGTAGGTCTTGAAAACTCGGAATTCATTCCAGAAGGATTTACATATGCTCTCCCAAAAAAGCTTTACCAACCAATCTGGCTGGAACACCATCATCACGAAGTTTTGTATAAAGCGCAGTGGCCCAGTAGAATTTCACCTAGTCATATGTGGGGCCTCAAATTTCAAATGAGTCGAAGTCATGTACACAAATCCGTATTTAGTAAATGTGTTAACATTCATGAGATACTATCTTACTTTCGAAATGATAAGCTCTATAATGACGATTTCCTGCTTGATCTTCACAAATCTGTCGTCATAATAGTTACCAGTGAGCATATAATTGTTATTTTTTTGGAGGTTCGTTCTGACGAATATATGTTTCACGATAAATCGAAATCAGTTCATGGTGGGAGTTTACTAACAATTATGTCCGAGTTTCACCTTACTTATTGAAACTATTTGTAGCTTTCGTCTCAATAACCAATATTGAACAGAATGTCCAACAGACAATTGCTTGAAGCCAATCTTTTCTAATTTTTCTGTCTTCTCAAAAAATTTTTTGTTCTTCGAGAAATTTAAACTTGCTTCATTCAATATTTCGTTCGGATTAGACATTATTGAGTGTTTCCACCTACATTACACCTGATCGTCTGTAGATTTAAAAAAAAAATTAGACAGCTGTTTGCTAATATTTTTATATCATGTTGTATGTCACTGACCGAGTTTAGTTAGTTTCGTCCTAGTATGGAACCCTTAAACAATATTCACACACAGAGCTACTACGGATCGGACTGAGGACATCCGGGCCTCGTAAAAGTCGCGATCGCACACTTCTAGGAGATGCTACACTACTACAGAACTTCTGTTCATTTCTTTATGATTTCCAATCGCTGTCTAACCAAGGTCAGCTCGTAGTGCAAAGTGAAATTCAACCATCTTTATAAATCCCCCTTACACTAATAACATCGATCTTGTTTATTAATTTATTGATAAATATAGGCATCACAAAATAGTTACGACTCCGTTTTATCAAGTGTTGTTGGAACAAATACTAGGCCTACTACATTTGTGATGACTTCAGCTGCTTCTTCGAATCCTTCCACTTCGACCGATTTGTCGACAACAAGAGCTACTAATACAACAATAACATCGAATAGTTCCATTAAAAATGTCAATTCACCTAGTTCCACTCTATTTGACTTGGTTAATACATCATTAAATACTTCAGATTTGAAAATGCAGTCGTCTAATAGTCATGATCATCGTCATCATCCGATGAATAGTAATATTAATAATGATAATAATACTTGGTCATATCCACTTAACAAACAAATATTAGAATCATCTTATAACACTTCATTGATTGATCACTGTTGTAATAGCCCTAATATGTTAGGTCAACAGCAAAAGTCACAGTTAACATTTGATCACCAAAATGAGGCTTTATCAAATATTGTGGTTAGTTGTCATCATTGTCAACCTCATCAGCCTCTGTCAACATCAGCATCTTCAACATCTATTCATGATAGTTTATGGTTATCACAACATGATGATCATACATCAGGACAACAACTGTTTCGCATAAATTCGTCAGAATTTGATCATATTGTTGATATTATTAAAAAAGATACTCATATTACTACTAATACTATTACTGATAATGATAGTATTAAAAATTGTCGTCATGTACCAGTTGATGAATTATCTGTGTTAAAATTCGGTTCAGCATTTTCTTCAACCTCATTGGAAAAAACTACCACACCAGTATCAACAACCACATCGAATAGCAGTTGTTCATTATTATCACGAAATGAAGAGTTTCCTCTGACAATGAGCACATCGTTTCCGTCTGAAACAGCAATGTTAATAACAGACCAGGGTACAACGCCATCAATAAAACATACATGTTTACCATCATCAATTCATTGTTTATCTAATGCAATCACTACTACTTGTAGTAATAAATTTCTCAATTCTTCATCACAACGATCTGAATTATTTGGTTTAATGAATAATGATGATTGGTGGCATCCTATTTCAAACCATACAAGTAGTAATAATGACATTAGTGTACCGTGTCCAATAGATATGCATATATTTGACCAGAAATGGCCATCTATTGAACATATCCAATCATCGAATAATGATGCTAATAATTTAAAAGTGTTAGCAAATTTTCAATTAAAGAATACTACAAGTACTGCTGCTTTTTTTGATGAAAAACATATGATACATACTACTAATATTAGTAATGATAGTAATATTATGCCACCAAATATTCATTTGGTAAATTGAAATTCTCTATTTTATCTATCATCATTTTTATTTATGAATTGATACCTTAACATTCTTTCTAAATTGATATTTTAACTATTTAGTTATAAAATTCCAAGATGAAAATCTTCCCCAAATGCCCTAATAATGTCGAGGGTAGGGAGAGTCAACTTTCCCTCTCTTATGGACACGTTCATACAACTACTGCAAGGGAATACCTACTCACTACATTCTCGTGGCAGCATTGTTGTTTAAGAAAGTGAGAGAACGAAAAGCGAATGTCCGACGCCTTAATCAAGATGGTGGAAACGGAGAGTCCATCTAGAGAAGTTAGAAAACCCTGATCCCAAACCAATGGTGCACATGGGCTCAAGGATACTGAGGGGAAAAAAATGGCGTATGAGCCAATTATTGACCACCGGCTACCATGAGACTGCATCTCCTGACGTTGCTCCACTGCCCTGGGCACCTGGGCAGTATCTCAGAGCTCACAGAAATCGAATAAAAAAGCGTGGCGAATATGTATTCGGTGCCCTCCTGTACCAATATTTATGTGTTCAAATAAATTTAGAAATGAATTGCGATGAATTTCTAAGTGTGCTTTGTATATATTTAAACATCGTTCTAGCAGTGGTTCAATAATTTTAGTAGGTACAATATACTTCTGACCCGTTAAGGTAACGGAAACCGTGTCAAGAATCGTCTAGACTTCCTCTGTGAATGAAATCGTAAACCGGCAATGAATGTTGCTAGTCAATATAATACCATTATTCAGTCATGAAAATGTTGCACGGTTTTATTGTTCTTATGTGATGTCAAATTCTCTTTGTACTGTGTAGGATTTCCTAACCACGATACTTCATATGACTTTTCTCGAATTATAATAGGCATTGGGCACTAACTGTGTATACTGCGATATTCCAAATAAAAAAAATATATTATTAGAAATATTAGAATATATACAGAAATTACATGAGAGCTTCTTAGCGGCTACATGATTCGTTCCATAACGCTTATTGATTTAAGATGGACTAATAAGATTGTTCCGATTTGATCGAGATATGCACTGAGACCCTGTTGTGCTAACACAAATCAAATACAAGCAAGTATTGATCATGAAGTTTGTGATCACTAATATGCTTATTGTTTCCACTTTTTAGACATCATTACTAAAACTGAACAACAACGAACCTCCTCATGTCTCATCATCAATCATACTTAATTCTTCATCGCTGTCATCTTCACCACCACTGTCATCCTCCTCTTGGTCAACACAACAACGAAAACAAGCTCATAAATCTAATTTTCACCGTCCAATACCTCAACCTTTACAATTAATTAATGAACCGAATTATCAAACACAACTTGGTATTAGCAGTCAGTATTCACCAATTACACCGGCACCAATGAATATGTCTATGCATACATTAACAACAGAATGTGGAGGACCTACTAACACTACTATCTCATCGTCATCGGTAAACATAACAACATTAACCAACTGTATCAATTTTGATTCAAATCTATTTATTACTGAACATCAACATCGTCCAGTAAATAATAATGTTGAATGCGACAATTCTAACAAGTCTTCATCGTCTATATGTTGTTTTGATCCTAATCGATTAGGTTTGGGAAATTTTCCCGATTCATTATTATTTCCTTCAATGTATAATAATAATAGTGGTAATCTAATCGTTACTGATAATACTAATAATAATTTTGTAGGAAAAATGTTTTCTCATATTGATTCATTCAATGTTAATAATAACAGTATAAAACCATCGGATATTTCTATGATTCCATCAATGAATCATACATTACTAAATCATGATCGTTTATTGAATATAACAACACAGAAAAGAAATTTATCAAAACATCAACATTATCAACAACAACAAATGAATAGTCAACAAAATCAACATCATCATCATCAATATCAACAATTTCATGACCAACTTAATAATAGTAATTGTCATGATAAATTATATGAATCGAAAGGTAATTGTACCGTTTGTTATTCACAACATCATCTTTATCATCAAGTACAACAACAACGAAAACAACAGCATTCAGAACCTAAACAATTGATTGATCATATTGAACAACATCAAAATCCATTAAATATTTGTCTTTTACCACCACCAATATCATCATCATCAGTTCAGTCATTACAATTAAGTGAGTTAATTGCACTGTTAGTATAGTATAATTCGTTAATTTATACTACTTATTTGGTCTTATACATCTGTTACCTTTTTTTCATTACTTTTAACATGTGATTTATCTGAATAAATTTCTGTAGAAATAGACATGTATGGTCTAATGGTACTCTGGAATAAGTGTTTGATTGTTCTGATTTGAAACATGAAACATGTGAATTGTTGTAAATGGATGTTTTGTTACTTGTTCTCATTTGTAAGTTGTATAATTTGTCAGATTATGATATATTTTTATCAAAAAAGGGAATCGGTGATTTTAACCGATGAATCGATTAGACTTTTGATACTTGTATGATTATACCAAGGGATGAATATGTATTATTCGCACACTGTAAAGAGCCTGGAAAATGTATGATTTAGAGTGAGGAAATCAATAATGATATTAGTTCATGAAGTCGTTGATTGTTGTTGTAGACTATTACATTGGGGTCCACTTCATAACCAATTACAATCACTAATTGGAATCGTTAGATGACATAGGTCATAATTGATTGTAGTAGTAGAAATACATTCCGTTTTTCTGTCCCGTTGAATTTTGAGGTTCAAAATTATTTTCTGCTTTTTACTCCTTAATACGATTTCTCCTTTTCAAACTGTAGTTTTGGTACTTCCATTATTTCGATTCTTATGTTACTTATCTTACTAATTTCATCATGATCAGGACTAAAGGTCTAATTTAAGATCATTTATGGTCCGAATAGTTCAGCTTTAGTGTCTAAGACCGTAACTACTGAGTGTCGTGATACCGAATCCCACTAGAATCCATCTGTTTTCTTAAGACTAAAATTACATATTACTTTCGGTTGCTGACTAAAGTGAAACCTATTTTCAACGTTTTCTATAGATTTCCACCAACCATCTCTTACCTCAAGAATAGTAGTATGATAAATAACTCATCAACTTTATGCTTACTCAAATAACACATTTGTGTCCAATTCATGGTTTTTGAAGTGAAAATTAACTCTATTGTTCATTAACTTTATAATTGGAGCATTTTGTATGTTAACCAAATGTTTTAGGTGTAAATCATATTTCAATTTGATTGATTTACTGACGTGGAACTTTTTAATTTAATCACTCTGTATTTCGGCTCTTACATACAAACAATGCTTTGAGAAAATTTGTGACCAAATGCTTATCAGTTTGCACATAATTCCTACTTTCAACAGTCAAATTTACAGTCATGCATATGAATGCGATTAAACAGCTGAATATATTGCTTATTTAAATACTCAGAAGGGATTTTGTGGATATTATAGTAATTTTAATAGTTTAGATCATGAGTCAATTGAAGCTAGACCACCATGGAAAACCTGGAAGCACTGTACGGCCGTTTGGTCTTACTGTGGGATTCCTCAACAGTACTCTTCCACGATCCCGCCTATTTATTTTATTTATTTCAACACATAGATAATGGTACAAAGAGGCACCAAGTACATATGCGCCACACAAATCTCATCCGATATGTGTGAGGGCTGTGATACTGCCCGGGTGCCCAAACCGAAGCAGGTGGTTTTCTTAGGGGGCCACACCCCGAGCCTTCGACCCAAAGGTCTGATCCACAAGGCAGTGGAGCATCGTAAGGAGATGCAGTCCCATGGAAGCCGGTGACCAACAATTGGTTCATTCGCCATTTGTTCCCGCAGGATACTGGAGCCCATGTGCACCATTGGTTTGGAATCCAGTTAAAGCGCCGGACATTCGCTTTTCGTCCTCTCATTTTCGTAAACAACACCCCCGCCACGAGAAGGCAGTGAGTAGGACTTCCTTGGCAGAGGCTATATACGCGTGGCCGTGTGAGAGTATTTCGAGAGGGAGAGCGGACTCTCCCCACTCTCGGCCGTACCAGGGCATTTGGGGGCACGATCCCGCCTCACGACATTTGAATCTAGGACCTATCAGTCTCGCTCGCGAGCACTTAACTTTTAAAAACAATTGGGATCTCATTTCAATACTCGCGTAACGTTTTTGTTTTTCTTAGCATTCATGTCGAGATTTTCATTTTAAAATGAGCATTTTTCAATTGATATTTAATGTTTACCCAATGCATTGTTCTTCCATATATAAATTCGCTTAAATTATCTACTGATCAAATCTTAACCATTTCGTAAAATGTTGTTTTTTCAGTAGGGTGTGGGTGGGAAGGCTTCAATATTGATAAATGTGTTTTAACGAATAATTTTAATTATACACAGTTATCTTTTGAAATAACAAAAATTGACATTATCTCATCATTATGTACTCATAGTGATGAATAGTATATAAAGATTAATAGTTTTCATTCCCGTTTGACTTACTCCCCGTTTCCTATCTTCAAAAAAAAGATTATTTATTAACATCATAACATCTGTTCATTTCATAGAGTAGTTCAGTTCGATTTTATAATTGTTCTGAATGAATCCCAATGAAAATAATAATACGAAAATAGGAGAGAAAGAGAGAGAGAGCGAGGGAAAACTATTTACATTATTTTTGAAAAATTGTTTATTTTAAAGGAAATAGTCAAACCACATTGACAACTCCATTTATGTTGGAGGTCTAACCAGCACTAATAGGTTAATGTCTGATGAAAACTTGGCACGGATTCGAAAAGCTCGTTTGGCTTTTGCCGACTTGTGTCACCTGTGATGAAGGTGAGATATCCGTAATAGTGAAGGTAGACACAAGTTATTAGGGAATAATGATAAGTCAGTCGATGAGGTTGTGAATCTTCAACTGAGATGGTTGAGCCACGTGTTGCGTATGCCTGCACACTTATTACGACGGCATGCAATGCTGATTAGTGTAGGGGATGGTTGAAATAAAGTTAGTGGCGGCCAAACCACAATGTAGGATCAGTCCTTGAAGTCACTAACTTCTAGTGTGAGCCATGTTAGTAGATGCAGACTACTTGGTTGAAGTTTGCGTGACTATTATAACCAATGGTTGTAGACTGTGTGTGACATGGCTCAGAATCGATCACAATGGCGTATATGTACACACTCTTTGTCTTCCCTTAATCTATGAGATTAAAATCGCTTCATATCTTTCTATGAATTAATTCTCTCTTTCTGTATTATATCCTTATACAAAATCTCTCTTTTATATATTACCACCACTGAATTAACTGCTTCTATGAATCCAGTGTTCATCTTGCTATGCTAACCGTAAATAACTATACTAACTACTAATCAAAAGATCATTGACATCTAGAACTATGTTGCTGAGGTATGAGGACAGCGGGTAGATCAAATAATTTTCACATTCTTAAAAATATTATTTCCTTTTTTTTTCTGCTTTCCTTTATTTATTACAGCTTTTTAGTAATCACTCTTACTTATGTTCGGTATCAGACAACAAGAGTCTTGATTAATTCTGCCTTCCGTCCATCATTTCGTCTTTGCTACACTAAATCAAATAATTAGAGACACTTGTAGTGAAATTTACATTCCAATATACACCCATCATTGTTTAAATGAAGTGGAAACAAACTGTACTAAATACAACATACATTTATTGAGTATTGAAAATGTTCCAAATAACCTCAACTCATAGTGTGCGCCCATACACACACATACACACATTGTTCCATTGGATTGATTGTATTATGCGGGAAAACATAAATAAACTAAGTAACTTTAAATAAATCCGTCCAGAGTTTTAATAATAATAATAATAATAACAATAATAATAATAATAATAATAATAATAATAATCGAATACATTAGAAGTAACTGCTACATAAATCCTTATCTGTTGTATGCATATAGTTGGACGTAGAGTATAGTGTAAAATTCGGTTAGCCAAATTCTCATACTACACTAGCACAACGTGATGAGTACCAGACAAGACGAATTACTAGTAATATCAACTACAATACATTCCAGATAGAAAGGATGAAATTGAGTAATGAAAAGTACAAAGTAATGTTGAAGATTAAGATTTAGCACATGACGAAAAGCGAATACATCTGTAACCCCTATAAGCGATTTTAAGCTATTTCATTCAACGTTTCCAGCCATTCATAGTGGTTTTCACGAAGTGAAAGGTACTCAAATCAAGATTTAGCATCAGTTTATAATGTCAATAACTATTGGTCTGAATCATTTTGGTTGATACGGACTACCATTATGGTACTATTTACGTAACTAGTGGCTATAGACATTAGGCAACATTGACTCACATTCGTTTTCAGTGAAATAGATACATTCACTCTTCGTTTACCGTTACATTACAGTGTAACTATTACCATAGCATTTTTTCTAGTTTTCATTTTTTTTTCACGATCTTTGCCATTTTCTAATTGGTTGTTATCACTTTTACTCTGTTAATTTTCTCATATTTCTCAAGGTTTTGTTTATTTTTACTGTATTTATGGAGTACTACTTCAATTTTGTTTTGTTAAGTTCTCGAATAGCAATGTTTTTCTGCACTCCTATTGTCTTCCTGGGTTTTATCGTGTTTGTGTTTCAATCAGTAGCCATACTTTTGTGTTGTGATGGGTTCACGTTCTTGCAAAATGCAATCTTAATCGTTTGTAACGCGGAATTATCTATACACTTAACAAAGTCGTAGCTCTAAGATATAACATATTACCTGAAGTTTTATAAATTAAGTTTCATGTTTATTACGCTTATTTTAAATTTAGACATTCCACCGTCAAGTTCATCATATTACCCTAATCGTCATCAATATCATGAACAAGGAAATGGTAATGATCATTTTAATAATAATAATATTACTACAAATTGTCGACGGAATACAGAACCATCGTCACATACTTGTTCTCAATATTCATATTATCAACCTGTCGCAAACTCATTAGGAAGTATAGATTTTACACGTCAATCCACACATGAATTTATTAATACTTCTACAGTGCATAATAACGATAGTATTCTTATACCTTCCACATGCATTTCATCATTGAATCCAAATTGTTGTTCTTTAATGAAAATGACATTATCATCGTGTTGTAATTCATCAGCTAAAACAGTAGCTACAACAACTTCTCCACTGTCTATTGCAACATCTTCAAATTTCATTCATGCAATAAGTGCAACTAATATTACTCATGGTTGTAGTAGTAATCAGTACTCATTATCAGTGAATGGAAATAATTGTTTTAATTTAAGCCGAAATCGATTACAATATAAACAACCGCTTCTTGGACCACCACTATCGTCCACACTGCATTTTGGACAAGAACACCTTTATTCTCTTCCACCACCACCACATCATCATCACTACCATCATCATCAACAACAACCAACGAAGTATCCAGTAATGTCATCCACCTCATCCTCATCGAATCATGGGATTTATTCTTGTTTGGATAAAATTGATAATTGTCGCTTTTTCAATGGGTCCGAATTATTATTGCACAATCAACTTAATCATATGAATGGTTCTATACGAAATCATCACAATAATATAAGTAATAATAATACTAAAAATAATGTTAATAATAATGATCATAATTACAAACATTTATTCCGTTGTGATGAACAACCGGATTCATTTACAAAATATACATCTAGAAGTCATTGCTGTTTAACCTGTTTAGAACTAGAAAGGAAACGACATATTTCTGCACCAGCAGTTAATAGTATTTCATCACAATCCCCTTGGCCATCATTATCGTTAACATCCTCGTCATCTTCATTGTCTGTACCATTATCATTATCGTCCCATAATTCATCAATTTCACCGTTAACCTGTCCTGGCAATCCACAGTCCCATTTGCAACCATCAGCTTTAACGAGCCGTAAAAATGAATTTATGAATAAATCTTATTCCTGTCTACCGGAATATCATAATCATCATTATCGTGTTCATCATCATTATCATCATCGCGGTCACTATTGCAAAGGTACTAGTTCCAGTGAAGGAGGTGTTGGTGACCAGCCATCAAGTGATGTCGTTGCCGAATTGTTAATGCAAAGGTCAGTTCTAGCCGTGTTTATTTGATAAACACTTTTACATTTCTCATTAGTTCTACCGTAATTATAATAATTTACACCTATTTCTTGTATTCAATTATGACATCATCACCTCTTTCTCTCCCCCACACACACTCGTTCATCTATAAATTCAACTCAAGTGAGTATAAAAAGTGATCGTAATTAGTGAACTAACTAAATGACTTTATGCAATGTTATACGCGAAATTACATTTGTGAAACATGTTTTATTTATTTACACAAATCAATGTGTGAAAGATTTAGTGTGTCCTAAGTGAAATGAATCCCACTTCATATCATAAAAGTTTATTAATAAAGAGTAATTTTCTGAGATTGTTCAGTTGTTTTCTCATTCAACAATGTTTTCAAATTCATCTTATTGTTGTGATCATGAACTGATCAATATTTGACCATCATTGGAAACCTGAAAGCACTAGGCGGTCGTTTCGTCCTAGTATAACACTCCTCCTCCTCTCTCACGAGACTCGAACTCAAGATCTTCGGTTTTGTATGCGAACGCTTAACCATTAGACCACTGTGTTAATGTCTAACTTCAACCATTCTACAATATCTTAGTATGTCCTCGTGTTAAATTTATCTATACATCGGTTGGTGTTAATGTATGTAATATTTTATGTGCGACTTCTCAACAGTGCATCTAACTTCAATAAATTCAATTGAAGCTAGACCACAATGGAAAACCTGGAAGCACTGGATGGTCGTTTCGTCCTAGTGTGGTACTCCTCAGCAGTGCACACCCACTATTCTGCTTCGCGCGAGTTTCAAACCCAAGGACCTATCAGTCTCGCGCTTAACCTCTAGACCACTGAGCCGGCATCCAACGGTTTTAATGTCTAACTTTAACCAATCCACGAAATTGCGCCACCGTACACCATTGTCTTCAGGGAGCTGATACCCCACAATTGACCTGCTTGAACTCCACTGATAACGGCTTCTCACTAGAACTCCAGGAAATGCCTCTTAAAGTCAGTTACTAGTGACTAGATGATTATAATGAGAATGGGTTTTGTGGAGATTCTAGAAATTTCAATAGTCTAATGGTTAAGCGCTCGCGCACGAAACTTATAGGTCCTTGGTTCGAATCTCGCGGAGGGCGGGATCGTAGGTGCTCACTGCTGAGGAGTCCCATACTAGGACGAAACGGCGATCCAGTGCTTCTGGGTTTTCCATGGTATAGCTTCAATTGGCTCATGGTTACAACTAGTGAAATATTCTATATGTTGATCAATTCATTTTACTGTTAAACATATTAGTCTATTCAATCATATGTATGTATGTATGTATGTATGTATGTATGTATGTATGTATGTATGTATGTATGTATGTATGTATGTATGTATGTATGTATGTATGTATGTATACATCATATCATATAAAGCAAAATATTTCTCGTGCTTATTATATTAATTAAGTAAGAAAAATAACAGTTTATTTTTTCATGAAAATAATATATTAAATGAAAGTATTTTTCGTGTATTTTTCATATTACTCGTTATACTCTCTCTCTCTCTTTCGCTCATCCACTCCCTGTCTATGAAGTACATAAACAGGCAGTTATTACCATGATTTATAAATTTGTATAGTGTAGCACAAGTTCATACATATCTACTCGTTATTGTTCTATCATCAATCAATATACATATATATACAACTACATACATGAACTCAACTTGTGATTCCTTTGAATAATAGTCATAATGATCATTCAATGATGATTGGTCATCCTTTTTTAAGGTCTGTCCATCTATACTTGTATATATGTGTATACCTCATATCATTAATCTAGTTATTTATTTATTTTTTTTAAGGTTGAGTAGAGGGAAATCACAGTTAATCTTGTAAATTATTCTAGTGGTTATTTGTATTTGTTGGTTGACTTGTACACAATATTATTATTATTATTATTATTCATTTTTAATTATTAAGTTGATTTCTTGTTAAATCTTGTTACTGATATGATTTTTCTATCAACCTTCTCTTTGTTTGTACTGTCTATTCTTAACTATATGACTTATATGTCATTGGTGTAAATTTGTATGTGGTGAATATAATTGAATGAACATATACATAACTCATATCTTATGTCTTTCTTTCATTCTGTTCAGTGTAATTTCATCGATTCATTAAAAAAAAGTAGATCTGTACTCAGAACAGATCTATTTAAATTAGAATTCCTGTGAATGTCAGTATCCAAGTTGTTTAAAGTTTAAGACACATTTTTTTCATCCAGGTAGTATTCTGTAGCTTTTAAAAGTGGGTATTTACATTTCAAGGAGGAGTTTTAATTTCGAATGAAATATTTGGTTTATTTTCACATATCTGTTGACTTTCTTCGTGTTTCCTCTGTCCACTATTTGGACGTTTTCTTAGCTGAACCCATGATCACTGTGGTAAGTAATAGTGAGGTTAGACGTTGGGTATTAGGAAATGATGGTAAATCAGTTGATGGGGTTGTGAATCATCATCGACTGAGATGGTTGGGCCACGTGGTACGTATACATGAACACCGATTACCACGACGCTCAATATTCACTAGTGTAGGGGATGATTGGAATAAAGTTAGTGGCGGCCAAACCACAACGTAGGATCAGTCCTTGAAGTCACTAACTTCTAGTGTGAGCCACGTTAGTAGATGCAGACTACTTGGTTGAAGTCTGCGTGACTATTATAACCAATGGTTGTAGACTGTGTGTGACATGGCTCAGAATAGATTACAATGGCGTAGGTGTATACACTTTCTTCCTTCCCTTAAACTATGAGAATAATATATCTCACTTTCTATGAATTAATTCTTTCTTCCTGTACTATACTTTATATGCAATCTCTCTTTTACATATCAACACCACTGAATTCTATGAATTCGGTGTTTATGTTGTTGTGCTAATGAGGTATGGCAAGTTGTAGCGATGTAAATATGTACCTAGTCCTACGTTGTAGTTGACTGACTGGTCATGTCGTTTAACAACTCCCTTAGTGTTCATGTAGATGTAGATGTTCAGGTCGATAGATACACTGCCAAAATAAACATCTAAACAACAACCATACAGTTATAGATAACAACTAGTCAAATTTCAGGTCAATAAGACAGTGTTAATTGATTGTATTAGAGAAATTCTAATAAATCACTTCTTTTTAATGTATATGCTTATGATTTTGTTCAGATGAATAGTGAACAATTTACAAACAAGACATTTAAGTCAGTGACCTCGACACTCTTAACGTTCATTGGAAATAACTATACAGAATTTTTTTTAATTCTCTCTTTTATTGAAGAATTTTTTATTCATCTTTGAAAAATTTAACCAAGGTATATACAATTTTTTTAAAACCCGCCTGGGGCCCTTCGTGGGCTACTGTCGGTCCCAAAGCCGGATAAAGGAGAAGGGTTGGGCATGGGGTTAGCGACCCCATCCCATAGAAAACTAACTCACTAAAAAAAAACTCCAAACAGCAAAAATAATTCAAACCATATATAATTTTTAATGGTGAATAGTAGTTATTATGTACTTCACAAGAGCGATTTACTTTTTTTTCCAGTTTCATATAATTATTTGAAATAACAGCAGTTTACTCTCTATTACGATATGGCTAAGGAATATGATCTATAAGAATAGTAAACATATAGATATTACAGTTTTTTTATCATGATTGTTTTCAAAGCACTAGTGGCTTACGGTAAGAAGAACGAGCTAGTTATTATAAAGTTAAATGTATAGTGCCATGCAAACATCATAAATTGGTGACTAAAACCGTGAATCTTTGTCAAACGAGGTGGCTGGGACATGTGCGGCATATGTCAAATAACCATTTCTACCTCGATGCCAAATGTTGGCTGGAGTAGCAATAGTTTGAAAATAATATATGGTCATCCAAGGCAAAATATGGGTTCAATCCATAAAACAATCGATTGTTCTTCCGGACCGTATTCGTAGTGTAGTAAACGAAATCTCAGGTGGGGAAACCAATTTATTGTTTAATTCAAAATTACTAATTTCCTTCGTAATATATGAAAACCATACATTATTTGCACATTTTCCTTCAGATTTCCTGTACGTGCTTCATGGTTCTTCCAATCTTGTTGTTATTGCAATTGCAATCTATTTCCCTTCCTGTTCTCTTCAATTCAATCTTCTGCTGGTAAACTTCCTACTTTCGATTTATCCTATATACTAATTATATCTGTCAGCATAAGTAGCATCCACCACAGTAGGTTCAAAGTACTTGGCTAGAATCTCGGTAATACCTACAATCGATGGTTGGAAACGTTGGGTGATATGAAAAGATGTGTAATGGCTAGCAGTGGAATGCAGTTTGACGCTCGTTTTGTCCTACTTGGGACTCGTCAACTGGATATGCCTGCATCTTAGGATTGATGTCCACTCCTGGACTCGAACCTAGTACTGTTCGCTTCAAATGCCACCGCGTTATCCACTTAGCTACTGAGTCCTGATGGTCATTTGCTTGTGCAATGGGATGAAGTTTAAATCCACTTCGTATCGTTTACTTCTATCTTCTCATTGGATTTCACTGCTAGCCACTATCCATCTCTGCTTATAAGGCTTGCGAATTATCGAGGCAATATGCATAGTATGCACATATTCCAATAGGAGACTGATCAATTGCGGTCCTAAACATCAATGTGAAGATACAAGTAAACAATACCAAATGAGTTGGATGATATGGCTCGAAAGCAGTTACAATGGTTTAGGTGTATTCACTGTTTATCTTGTGCTGATCTTCAACAATGTGCTTTCCATTTCTCGATTTCATCCCTTCTATCTGGACTGTATTTTGCAATGTTTAATCTTTCTCACCGTCATTATGTATTTGGACAAATTTTTCATAATTCTGCTCGTTATAATGTTTAAGTATACGTCTGCACAATGCTGCGACCACATGATCACTTTCTATAATCTCAACTGATCGGGGTCATTTACAGGAGTGAAACGCAAATCAATTCATACTGTTTGTTTCTACACTTCAATGAAGTTATTTCTTTTTTTTCAGTAACAATAAACAACTCTGGACGCAATATTTTGTCTTGTTGATATGTTATTGAAAAATTGTTTTCTTTTCTTAGAAATTATCAGATCCTTGATCAGTGGTTAAAAATTTCCTACCTAATTATTTGACGTGAGCTCTAATTGTCTGCTTCAAATCTGATTGATTAATCATTGTTATTACTTTAGCATGATTCAATGTTGATGTATTCATTTCATACTCTTGACTGGTCATTTTCATTGTTTATTTTTGAAACAAAATTATTACAGACGTAGGTTGTTGAAATATAATACCTTACCTCTATAACGCTGTTGTAAATTCAGCTTTAGAACTCCGTTCTCAGACATTATATTTGCTGTCTTTAGTTTCACCTTGCTCAAACTAACCTGCTTGGTTATGGTAGGAACTAAAAGCATAAATGTTTCACACTATGTAAATCAAGAAGATCATCACGATATGCAAGCTCGAGCACCATCTCAGCTTATCAACTGCGATGAGGATTCTGTCGAAATTAGACAGTTACATTTTCATTTCCAGTCAGTTCATAATATAATATAACCATTATTACTAGTCTAAAGTTATCATGCTCATGGTGATACACATATTTTTTTCACCTATATGTTTTTCGTCTTTAGCCATATTACTGATCCAGATGGAATATCATCATTAACATGTGATATACATAATTCTTGTCCAACAACACCAGAACTGTCGTTAACTCCTATCCCATCACCAGCACTAGCACAACCACCACAACTACCGTCACAACACCAAAAACCTTTATTAGTAGCAAGATCTACAGCAGAAACAGTTGACCAGTCATTCTCTATTTTAGAAGATGAATGTTTATACCGACCAATAAATATTATGAACAACATGTCAAGTATATTTCCAACTAATAAAATGACATGTATTCCATCATCGTCATCATCATTTCTAGGGCCATCATTATCACCGGCAACATCACCAGCATTACCGTTTTCATTATCATCGATATCACAAGAAGAAACAACATCTTTCTTTTCATGTACTGATTCACATTTAATGACTAATTCATTTCGTTCTATGGATATAGAAGATTTGAGTATTGAACAACATCAACAACAGCACTTTTCGAAAGTACCAACTCATCATCATCATCATGAACAACAACATCAAAAATTGCCTATCAGTTTACATCTTCCAATTACTTCTTCATATTCAGTGTCCAATTTAAATCAGTCCGAATTATTGGACCTGACTGTACCACCATCGATTACACAAAATAATAATATTGTCAACTGTGATGATCACGATGAAATGATCAAAAAAACAACAAATCAGACAACATCCAATAATAATATTAATAATAATAAGTATCTTTGCGATTCAGGAAATGATTCGGTTGCAGCAAAACTTTCCAAATCATTAGCTGAAGATAATTTATTCCGTAATCCAACAGCATTACCGCCACCGAAAAAAATGAAAAGTAAACCAGCGCCTATTTCAATTCCCCCACAAGTAAGATGTTTTTTTCAATTTTATTTGCAAACTGATTTCAACTAGATAACCACTGAAAGCCAGAGGGCACTAAACACGTGTTTTGTCTTAATATGTTGCTCCTCATGGTTGTTCATTCACAAACCCGTCAGGAATTGGATCAAGATCCCTCAGACCTCGTAGCGAACTCCTGGATCTCAGACCGCTGATCTGGCGTCAAATAATTTGCATTTCAAACTCTAGTCGCTTGACAATATTAAGCTGACCTAGTGAACTAAAAGCTAGGACTTGCAACGAGTCCTAGAGGTTCTTAGTGCTGTTTCAGGTAGCCACAGAGGTGCTCACCGCTAGGTAGTTACATGCTGGAATGAGGCAAATATCCAGTGTTTCTAGTAGTAATGGTTGTTTGGGTAAAGTCATCCTTGCCCGAACAACCATAAACATTTATTGATGAAAATAATTATGTGTTGTGGGTAATTGTGGGACTATCAATTTGTTGATACTGACTTTAGATATAAAAGCTTGTCAGATAAAAGAGTTAGTGAAGGTGATTTTTAGCTACGATGAATGATTTTGATGCGCTTGCGTGCTTTACTGTAGATGATATAGCCATGAAGCATTCACAGTTCTTCTGAACATCAACATCTGCACTAACTTCAAGTAGGACTGAGAAATTCCACTTTCTACACATATAACTTACATCTTATCCTGTGGATCTTGATCTTGATTGGTTATCGATTACTTTTATTCTTATTCTGGATTCTAGCCTTCTTTATTGATATTTTCTATAGGTTGAGAGTCATTTTCAGTATAGGGATTTGTGGTAATTGTCAAGTGTTACTGAAACCAATTTTCTCAACGAACCCTTGTATTGATATTTATCATATTCTATCTGATTGATAGGTATTTCTTGGAGTTCTATTGCGAAGCAGTGACTAGTGGAGTCCAACTGTATCGCGTATGAGGCAGATAGATGTACAGTATTATGATTTGGTTGATGAAGTTAGACATGTACACTATTTGGTGCGGATTCAGTAGTCCGAAGGTCAAGTTTGTACAGAAAATTAGTGGTATTTATTAGTAATTCAGATGATCTTGGGCCTCTGGGAGTTTCTAGAACCCCACTAGACATAACGGCAGGATAGGTAGTCCTTCAATTAGAAGTGTGACACGTATCTCTTCACTTGCTAGATGTTTTGTGAAACTTCTATCTAAGGCTGATTGGATATATAATGTCTTCAGGGTCCGTCTGAACTTTTTCGAGGGATACCTAATATCTTCTCAACAGTAAAAGCTTATAAATGTATGAGTTGCGTTGATACACTTCACTTACCGTTTGTTTCATATGTCGACCATTCCAAAATATTCATCCGGTCGGTCGTGAACCTTCACCCCAGGCTTTTCTGTTGTAGGAGTAAGCTGGAAGAAAGTGCAAAGACAGTCAATGAAATCATTGAATGTTGTTCCAAGTCATACTAGTCGATACAAACTGTCTTGTTGCTATCCATGCTATAACTTCAACCAGTGGCTAAGTAAGTTGGATGATATAGGTCACAAACAATCCGATTAGCTCAGAAGCATTCATTCTTCGTCGTGCTCTAGATTTTCAGTTCCTGTATTCCGTCTCATTTCTTTTTTGATCTATGTTCTCGTTGCTGAATACTTCTAATTATAATTTATAATACATAATTTTGATCCCTTTTGTTATTTGTCTTTTTGTGCTAATGTGTGGTATGGTAACATGAACCAATGCACATATATCATAATTTCTATTGTCCAATAGTTCTAAACTAGAACATCACGTTCTGGCACAGATTTGACCGAGTCACATAGTTTATGGTGTTTATATTCTTTGAATGAATATGAATATTTTCTTAATTTTCATCTTAATATAATATGCAACGTATGTACAAATTAGTATCGTAATTTAATTAGGATGTTAATTAATCAATTAAATATTTAGTCGATTACTAATCATTGGATCACGGCTCCAAATGCCGTTTCATCTAGTTATATTCAGGTTACTGACTAATATCTATTTAACACTGTTAGAAAGTGGTTATGACAAATCAAGAAACCTTTAGACCTGAATTGGCAGACTGTCCATCAGTTACCAGATGCATCTGGTGTTTACAACACGTTAGCATGCTCCGGCCAATAGGCTTCGCGGTCCTTACGCAAGCTTTGCACAATTTCACTACGTAACAATCCTCGTTTATTGTCAATCTTGAAACAGAAGCTACAGGCAATTTGCTTACATCGATCTGTTTAAGACGATGACTTTGTTAAACGCGGAAACGTAAGATAACGTCTTATTTTTTTATCAGTTAACTGATGAAAGCCCACAGTTCATTAGGTTAGCATTTATTCTTTGTGAATTGTAAGAACGTCGATTTCTAAATGAATTAAACATTTTTTAAATTCAAGAATGAAACATTTCATTAGTTTTTTTGGTTAGCAATAATTGAACTATATAACTTTATTTTCAATATGATTATTTTCTGTAGACCGGTGCAAATTTGTCAAGATTACGTTCTCCACGTGTATGGAGTTCAAAACGATCTTCGCTTAATTCTAGTCCTCCACCATATACACCACCTCCAATGCTTAGTCCAATCCGTCAAGGTTCCGGTTTATTTTCTTCATTATCACGATGGGTGCCAACTCCGACAGCAGTATCAGGGGGAGGAACATCATTGGCGACGTCGGCAGGAGCTCGTTCTGTCGGGAGCGGTACACTGATGAATCGTCGATTCTCAAGTTATTATTCATCGACCTCCCATCATAATGACTCAGAACTTACTACTATTCCTAATACTTCTACTGTGTGTGCCACTGGCAGTGGGGTCAATAGTGGTGGTCAGTTGAAACGACGTCATGCAAGTAGCAGTGGTACTAGGAGTAATACCAGTGAGATTAGCATTTCAAATCAGAGTATTAATATGGTAGATTCTAGTAATAATATATTTACTGGCCCTACTAATAATAATAGTTATGACAATAACAACGTAAATACAGGCTCAATCACTGACTTGTATATGCGTGATGTAAATCGACCAATAGCCTATACACGTAGACGACGTCAACAACTCACACCAAAGTCCGCTCCTGTGTTAATTCTCAACTGTAATACGACGAAAAATTCGGTAAGTTCTTTTTACAATTTTCATCTTTGGTTCCAATGTACTTTTGCGTACAACATTTGGTGGTCAATTTCTGTCGAAACTCCACATCAATTTCATTACTTATTATTGTACTGAACTACGCATGTGTGTGTATGAATCTCATATGAACGTGCAGCTTTGTTTATACATACTACAGTAACTTAATCTTAAATCTTTCTACATTTACTACTTCCGAAATTCGTACTATTTTTATTTCTTTGTTATTTAGTACATGAAATGTGGTACAACTGAATATTAAAAATTGCATGCAACGGATAAAATAAAGAGATCAGATTGTGAAAAGTTAGATGAGGTAAAGGCAATGCAACAAAATAAAAGAATAAATAAACAATTATAGTGTATAGTAAAAGATACATTTCCGTTATATATACAGCCTACAGGGATTCCTACCGATCCATATAGTCCCTCTCACCTTAATGAAGATTGTAAGAGAAAGCCAAAGTAGGATCGCCATTGGCTTCTATTCTGAATTATGTTTGATAACATCGGAAGTCATTGAGTCGCACCATATTTAGGAAGACAACTATCATGCCATAAGATCATCACCTTTCCACCTAGTTCCAGCTTGAGGAAACGATGAACAATGTGGAATTCTCTCGTATATTCATTTAAGCTATCAAAGCCGGTTTTTCAAGATGATATTTTGAAATCAATTTTGAGATATCTTTGTGATGGATACGTGTAGGTCTGTTATTTGGCGAAATAAACTTTTTAATCTTGAACAAGCGATTAAAATCTTTACTATCCGTTGCATCATGGTTATATTTCCATTCAAATAGTTGACGGTGAGTATCTGTTAGTATGACATGGAGTCTAAAATATTCGTATAAAACAGAATTCGTTTTCACTTTCACATTCGGCAGTCAAGACGTTCAGGTTTTTAGGTAGTTGTTTGGCAAATAACATTAATCTTTGTCCAGTGAAAGATACACGACTTCTGTTAGTGTGAACCAATTTTTTCTCTGCTGTTACATTGTTCTAATCAGAAAAAGTTCGATAACCAACGCTTTTATGACGAATAATTTTGTTCTATGCTTATGAAACCGTAAACCTGAGGATGTCCCGTAACCCAAGATGTTCGTATATCATTGTCTCAAGAGAATTACTCGATTACTGAAAGCTTTAAAGGTCGTGAGTTCGGTTACTTAGGTGGATGTTTCTTCGGAGCTCACAGCAAAAGGGCTCCATGGTTTTCAATTTTTCATCAGCTTACGTGTCTATTCTTGATGAACAGTCAACATTATCATAAATGCACACACACACACCAACGTAAAGTATTATTTGAAAGTTGTTCTTTACTCGATCATGTCTCAAAATATCGATTAGACATTGTAACTTTTTTATTTCTAGAATATGGATAAGACAAGTTCATCGCTCACTCCTTTTGTAGCTAGTTCTGATTTCTACTCCTAAGCATCTTTGTCTGTTTATCTTTCTATGCGTTATCTACCTATTTGCCTATCTAATAGCTGTATCTCCATCTGTTTATGTACCTATCAATTGATTATCTATTTGGTTACGTGCGTGTCTGTTCTGGGTTTTTTTTAGTTGTATGACATCTGTGGGATAAAAATATGTTTAACTTCAATCAATTCACGATATTGCGCGATCATCTTCCACTACCTGCAGTGGTTGACTGTCTCACACCCGATTTGGTTGAACTCCACCGGTCACGACTTCTCTCTAGATTTCCAGGAATCGCATCTTCAAGCTGGTCACTAGTGAAAATAAGATTATTATCAATAGACGTTTTATTAGATTTCAGCTATGTCGGGTTCTGTGCAGCTATTCAACTCATCGAGTGGAAGATGATCGTCTCGCAATGTCATGAATTGATTGAAGTTATACAGCTCATTGGTCTAGAGGTTAAAAGTTCACCCTCGAGACCGTTGGTCCTGAATTCGGTTTCTTATTGTGAGGTCGTAAATATGCATGTACTGCAACGAAACATCTGTTTAATATTTTCTGCTTTTCAATGATGATCTAAGACTAACTCGTAGTTTAAATTGGAAATTTCACAATCTTCATAAATACTGTTATTACTTTCAATAGTTGAGATCATGAGTCAATTGAAACTAGACCACTATGAAAAACCTAGAAGCACTGCATGGCCGTTTTGTTCTATTCTGGGACTCCTTAGCAATGAGCATCCACGATCTTACCTCACGAGATTCGAATCCAGGACCTATCGATCTCGTGCCACTCATGATCTCAACTATTGAAATTACTATAACATCCACAAAAACCCCTTCTGATGTTATTCATTTGTTTAAAATTTCCCTATATTAAAAGAGTATTGTTTTGCTGAAACAATATATATATGGTTTGGAAAGAGTTCTTGTTAGTTATCGAATGGAAAATCTTTCATATCTGTCGTCTACTAGTTTTTGTGTGTGTATATACATGTATAACTCCATCTCGTATTTATTGGACCATATAAATGATTAATTGACATCTAATTTACCTATGAATTAATTTATTATTGTTATTTGATTACATGTTCAAGTTGTCGGTTTATTCAACCTTATTTTTGCTGTTGATATATGCTGATCGTCTACTTAGATATTATTCCCTCTAGTTACATTCACTATATTTTTTCCGAGTATAATCACATTTAATAGAGATGAGTTAAATACAGAATCAAGGATCAAAGATCTCATTGGCGATGATAAATTTTCTTTGAAAAGCATTCAGAAAATAATATTTGGATGCAAATATGAATTATGGCTAACAGTGGAACTCGGGACGCACGTTTCGTCGTATATAAGACTCGTCATCTGGATGTACCTGCATCTCAGAGTTGATTTTCACTCCGCGACTCGAAACTAGTACTGTTTTCTTCAAACGCTATCGCGTTATTCACTTAGCTACTGAGTCATGTTAGTCGCTCGCTTGTGTAATGGGGTGACGTTTAAATTCAATTGGTGTTGTTCGCTTGTATTTTCCCATTGTTGTGTAGGACTGCAATTGATCAGTCTCTTATTGGCATATGTGCATCCTACAACTCATTGGTCATGTGTTGAATGTTTAGACCAATTCACAATGGTTCTATAGTTTGGTGTCAACACACTAAAGAGGTTTTTAGATTAAATTAAGGGCTTATCAACAGAATCGTGTATAAATAGTCTGAAAAAAGAATACATAAAAATATTGGTACCTTTTAAACTGATACTTACCCTAATATTAAGTGTATCCTATTCTATGATTGAAGTTAAAAATGTAATACCTAGGATTTTAGATCACTAAACTAACGTATGTCATACTCGTTGTGAGAACTAAGTCTTCCTGATTTCATGCTGGCTATAAGGTCGTGGATGCTTACCAATTAAGCAGTAAAACTATATTTCAACGACGAACCAATCAGATCCAATGTATTTATTGTTTGAGTTTTGCATGAAATTCGAATGAAAGCTGGCTTGTAACTGATTAAAAGCTTTTCAAAACGTACTTATATTCATGTGTTAACGCACTTATGATTGATAAATATATTTGTTGTTCCTTTGTATAGTGAATATGATATGGTGTGAAGGCTAAGTTATAAGAAATACCTGATTCTGATGCAGATTGTATCTACAATCTTAAATACATATCGGTCGCACATTGTATGATATAGGACACAGTTAAATGTGTTTATGGTACGATATCTCAAGGTCCCGTGTACGTCATAAACCGACTTTAGTCTTTCGGAATTTTTCCGGTTTTTTTAATGACAAATTATACTTTAACTTGATTTACATCCTGATTGTGTAATAAAAGTAAAATTTCATTAGCTAATTTAACGATCACTCAAGTTTGTCGCTAAAGTATAGTTACATCCTCTAAGATTTACATACCTTAGCAAAACAATAACTATATACACTCGTTCTCTTTAGTTTTCAATGGTCTCTTCAACTGCATGATGAACTCGTTGTGAAAACTGATAAATGTTTTCTTAAAACTATTTCATTCATGATTGTTTTTTTCTCTTCACTGTAGGCAAATCAATCAAGAGATCTTCAAGACAGTGAGTTATCACTTCAATCTCAACAACAATTCTCTAACACTGATACCGTATTTGGTTATGATGATGAGACTATGCGCCGTTTTGCGGAAGCCGATGAAGCCTACCGGTTAAATAGACAAAAACATCAAAATAAACGTTATTCACGTCGTCGACATGATACTGAGATAAATGCATCTAATGATCAAATCAATCACCATACTACTACTGTTCCTACCGATGATGATGATAATAACAGTAATGAATCAATTCTTAATAAAACTGATCACAGTTTCAACTTTGCTGATGAACAGTTGTTAAATTTTGATTTCGAAATGAAAACTAAAGAGACAAACTATTCTGAAACAACAATACAATTTAATAGCGATGTTGAATTAGACTCGGAGCATGAAATGGAGGATGAAGAGGATGATGACGATGAAGAAGGTGTTCCAACTAGTATTATTCCGTGAGTATTTCTGTATTTTAAGCTTTATATTTTCTACACGAATAATCGAGATGAATAAAGTGTGATGGCTTAGACGGTCAAAGCATTCGACTTTCCATCATGGTATCCTAGGTTCAGTTCCTGTTTCACCCACTTTAATTTGAACATTCATGTTGCAGGCCTGTGTAGATTTGCTTTTTCCTGCTTCCCACACTACAGAAGGATATATATTATAGACGATCTGTAAAGAAAACTGAGTCAGGGGTGCAGTTGGCGACCTAGAAGTGTCGCTGCACCGTTCGTGGAATAACTGTCTAGAGCCAGTCGCATACGGCCATTTTGTGAAGACTTTTAGGTACATTAGCTCCTTACCTTTAAAACTTTACCGCCAACAATGGAACCCTATAGGAAAAAGGTGAGGTACTCTATTTTTAGATCCAACCCTTCCTAACGATCTCATTGTTGGAATACAGAATCGCTGTGGATGCTGGTTGTCTAAAGGAAATAAATACCCTGCTACCATCACATCCGTGTTCAGTCGCCAGTACAGCTTCACCCTCGGACCATGAGTTTACTTCTTTTAGTATTACCGCTATCCAGCCAACTTACTTGGTAGTATAAGACATACACAAGCAAGTATTTTAGTCAGTACAATTCATTTAGATTATTATCAACTTAAGCAAGCCTGACCAAGGCAAGTAAGCGACATCTATGATTGGCAACTTTAAGTCATGGTTAATCTGATCATCACGACGAATTTTCTCTATTTTTTTAACTAACGTATTTATTAAGAAGAGATGGAAGGAAAATAAATGTGAGATGGAGACATCTACCTGTCGATTGTTTTCTGTACTTTTCTGATGAACATTGTTTATTAATTAGTCATTTTGTGGTGAACTTATGTAAATGTAATTGTTAGCATTCTTTCGGTCCATTTATTATTTGTAGGTCTTCAAATAGTCAGTCAGTTACCTAAACATCTGTAACCCAGTTCTTTATCAACGTATCTTGGTTATTTACTGACTAAGATTTCGTATTTATGGTACGCTCTGATCTTCTATAATCAAGTAAATCATGACATTAAGTTTTAAGTGTCATACGGACAGATAGATGGTTGTAAGCAGCTGGTGAGAAATCACGAAACATAATGAATTCACATTATTCTGCCTATATTATTATTCTGACTTTATTCAGATTCTTCAATGTTCTGATGGAATATTCGGTCAGAATTCAGGAGCCCATATGCACCACTGGTCTGAAATCAGGATTTTTCAACTCCCCAAGGTGGATGCTCCATATCCCCTAACCTAGGTAAAGCCCCGGACATTCACTTTTCATCCTCTCGATTTCGTAAACAACAGCCCTATCACGAGAAGATAGTGAATAGGAATTCCCCGACCGAAGCTGCTACCTTGACGCGGTGGTCGGGCTTGCCTATCGTGATGACCTAACCGAGCTATATTGGCTGGAACACATGTTCCTGTAGGTTCTACCATGCCAGGCAGGTCGATTGGTGAACGGTAAGACTAAAAGCAGCAACTCAAGGTCTGAGGGCGAAGTCGTACTGCTGACTGTAGAGAGGTGTGACAGCAGTAAGGTGTTTCCCTCAGACAACCAGCATGACAGCGATGCTGCCTTCCCACAAGGAGGGGTGGGGTTAGAAAAGGTCGACCCTAAAAATGTCACACCTCACCTTACCTCACGGATTTCCGTCTCCGGCGGTAAGGCCCTTTGAAAGGCCGTGCGCGACCGGCCTCAAGCAGTTGTCCCTTGTGCTCTGCCGTCACGCTCCCAGGTCGTCAAGACCAACACTAATGCAATTTCCTTTTCAGGTTCCTCAAGAAATACCCTTCCACGGTGTGGGCAGCCGGGAAGTGACATCAGCCCTCATACCCGTAACTGCACACGAGACCAAGTTGGTCACATTCAAATCCTTCCTACACCTCCTAATACCTCTCTTATCTCCATGACTAACCCTCCTCATGTCTCTTTATCACATCGCACCGCTAGGGCAAACGATTCGAGTACGTGGAACGCTATTCCTGGTCTCCTGAAACCACGCTCTAAACTACACGTAGGAGCTTTTAACGTCAGAACACTGTGCCAAATAGGACAGCAGGCTTCCTTAGCTAGGACTTTAGAATCTCGCGCCATCGATGTGTGCTGCGTCTCCGAAACGCGCATACAAGATCCGAGTAGCGTCATTTATTTGATTTCACCATGCCAAAATAAAGAACCGACTCGATTTACGCTTCGTGTATCTGGAAGCCCTGATTCTGCTTCCCGTGGACTCGCCGGCGTAGGTATAACATTGAGCCCTAGGGCAGAATTAGCTCTCTTAGAGTGGATCCCAGTAGACAGTCGTTTGTGCGCTGTCCGACTGAACGGAACAGTAAGAATCCGAAAAGATAGGGACACCTGTCGTTGCCTCTTCGTCGTTTCTGCCTATTCTCCCACTGACTGCAGCTCAGATGATGTAAAAGATGAGTTTTACAGAAAGCTTTCCGACCTTCTCCGAAAAGCTAGGTGCTATGATGTAGTAATAGTGGCCGGTGACTTTAATGCTCAAGTAGGTAAACTAAGTGATAGGGAAAGACACCTAGGTGGATCTTATGGTGTCGTGGCTCAAAGAACAGATGATGGCAACCGTCTGTTGCAGCTATGCTCAGCTAATCTCCTGTTCCTTGCAAATACTAACTTTAAGCATAAGGAAAAACATCTTTTAACATGGCGACCCCCTAATTCGTCCCAACGTTGGACCCAAATAGATCACATCGCCATCAGCCACCGATGGAGGGGCTCGATAGAAGACTGTCACTCATTCTGGAGCACATGCTTAGATTCAGATCATGCTCTAGTGCGAGCGCGTATTTGCCTGCGTCTTACTGGACGTAGGAAAGACGCTGCAAGGAAACCTCTTAGGGGCCTACTTAATGATAGTCAAGCTAGGAGTATATTTCAGGAACAACTAGGAAACCACTTAGACAGCCATGTATGTGATGCCCACCCTGATGCAGCATGGAATGATATCCGAAAAGCTGTGGAAACAGCAGTGATATCTGCTAGTAAGGTAAACCAGAAGGTTAGGGAGCAACACTGGATCTCAGCAGCATCTGTCGCACTGATAGATGCTCGGAAACTCATTCCACCTGGCTCTGAACATAGTGGAGAGCGGAGTCAACTTAAGCGCAAGCTGACAAGAAGTCTACGCAACGATCGCGAACAGTGGTGGGTAGCGAAAGCAAGAGAGATGGAGAAGGCAGCGGCAATAGGTAATAGCAGACAATTGTTCAGACTCGTTAAGGAAACCGGAATTAGGAACCCGACTGTTAGCGAAACAATCTCAGAGAAAGATGGACATATTATTCATTCCCAATCCTGGAGATTGGATTGATGGGCTGAACACTTGAGGGATCAGTTCAACTGGCCTTCAGCCACACTTCGGTTTCCCACGATCCCCAGTCAACCTGAACGGCAAGTTAATGTAGGTCCTCCGTCTCTTTACGAAGTTGAAAAAGCCATAGGAAATCTGAAACGAGGGAGAGCAGCAGGCCCTGACAGGTTTACTCCTCAGATTTTTAAGGATGGTGGTCCAGTATTAGCAATGAGATTAACGGAGGTCTTAGGTAGAATTTGGGAACTGGACGTAATTCCATCTGACTGGTCTCAATCACTGATTGTGCCAGTCTATAAGAAAGGACAAAAGTCCTCTTGTGACAATCATAGAGGAATCAGTTTGACTAATATAGTGTCTAAAATATTAGCTTCAATAATACTTCGACGCCTAATCAAAGCTCGTGAAGAGCTGGTTTTCGACCTTGACTTGGTTGTATAGACCAAATATTCACACTACGTCAGGTTCTAGAACACAGACACACGTTTAGACGCCCAACAATGGTAGTATTTCTCGACCTTAAGGCGGCATTCGACTCTGTTGATCGTGAGGTTCTATGGCAGTGTTTGTCACTGAAAGGAGTACCGAAGAAGTACATTAACCTTATTCAGGCTCTCTACTCGAACACAACTGGTAGAGTGAGAGCTTATGGCGAACTGTCATCAGAATTGATTACCTCAAGTGGTGTTCGTCAGGGCTGTCCACTCTCTCCATTCTTGTTCAACTTCGTGGTCGACGTACTTTTAGAGATAACACTCTCCTCATCTAAATTTCCAGGGGTTGAACTTCTACCAGGAGGTTCACTTGTTGACTTAGAATATGCTGATGACATAGTTTTATTTGGTGAAGACGCTGACAAAATGCAGTCTTCTGACCACTCTAAGCAACAATGCAAGCATGTTCGAGATGCGATTCTCTCCCTCGAAATGCAAAATGTTGCTTCAGGATTGGGTTACATCGACACCCGAACTAGTGATAGGGAGTGAAGTAGTTGAGTGTGTCGACCGCTTCACTTATCTTGGAAGTCTCATCAGTCCTTGTGGTCTGGTGTGTGACGAAATCTCAGCACGGATACAGAAGGCTCGACTAGCTTTTGCCAACTTGCATCATTTATGGCGTAGGCGAGATATCCGTCTATCAACCAAAGGACGGGTTTACTACGCAGCAGTACGTCCCGTCCTACTTTATGGCAGTGAAACATGGCCGGTAAGAGTAGAGGATATTCGTAGGCTACTAGTATTCGATCATAGGTGTCTTCGAAACATTGCTCGTATATCATGGGACCATCGAGTAAGTAATGCAGTTGTTAGGAAACGGGTACTAGGTAAGGATGGCAAATCAATTGATGAAGTGGTGAAACTTCATCAGTTGAGATGCCTGGGACACGTGTTACGTATGCCCAACGACCGACTGCCTCGACGTGCGATGTTCAGTGGTATAGGAGTAGGTTGGAAGAAAGCTAGGGGCGGCCAGACCAAAACATGGCACAAATCCATGAAGTCACTGACAAGTGGTCTGAGTCATGTTGATAGGTGTAGACTACCTGGTTGGGGACCGCGAGATGATAGCAACCGATGGTTAGAGACCCTGAATGACATGGCTCAAAATCGTTTGCAATGGCGCAGGTGCATCCACTCTTTGTGTTCTCCCAAATTTTGATCTCCTGATTCCCCCTTGTCTCTTTTTTTCCTCTTTCCAAATTTATTTCACTGAATTATACTCTTTAAATAACATCTCCAAACCCTAATCTTCCCGATCACCGCTTACATTCTTGCTACCTCTACCACTACGGGATTTGGATCGACAACTGCATCTCTGTGTTAAGGTGGTGTGGCAACTCGAACTGATGTACGTACGTACGAAGTTCTACGTTGTTACTGACTGACTGACTGACCCTGACAGTCGCTGTATATGCGTAGCCATGTGAGAGCATTTTAAGAAGTAGAGCAGACTCTCCCCACCTTCGACCGTAGCAAGGCGTTTGGGAGCATCTGCGTTATTAGCAATAGTTGATGTCTAATAGTGATTTTCAAAAAAAGTAAAGGTCGTACAGAACCATGAATTGGGATTATTGTTATCGCGATTGGGGTTACAAGAAAGAATATTTAGATTATTTTAATAAAAAAATTCTAAGTCTTCCTAGCGATGAAATGTCAGCTATTGAAAAAATGAGAGAAAAGCTTCATATTTCTCAATTAACATTTGCCTAATATATTGTGTATATTTTAATTCTTCAGTAGATATGAACTTCAAATTAGTAGCTAAAATACGGGTTCGTGGCAACATTATGTAAACCGTAAATATGATATTCATATTACCACGTAAGTATACAACTGAGGAAAGTTATATTGAATGGAACTACAAGAATCCTATCAAGTGCGTTTATTTAGTCAATGTATTCAAGATTATTCGTACAGTTATAGTTTGCGTCAGGAAATGATCTTATTAAAAACCAGTGAAAACCAGAAAGTACTCGACTTATGCTTCATCCTAATATGAAACTGCATGCCGATGCGCATTCGCTACTTCATCAAAGATCGGACGTCCAACCTAACAGGAAATCCTTAATTTTTGGAATTCTGAGCTGACATCTATTAGTTTACACGTCTAACTTCAGTGATTTCACGATTTTTTGTGATCATCATTTAATATACCATTAGTAATATAACTGACTGATACACGAAGAGGTCAAAAATCACTTGTCATAGCTTTTCGTTTAAACTCCAGGAAATACATCACAACTTATCGAGCATATTATTACAATTGGTATTAGAGATTTGTAATGTAAACCGTAAAATTCTACAATCTTATTAAGACCTCTTATACTGATAGTTGTATATTTATTTATTTGATTACGAATTTTGATTTCTTTGCTTTTATTTCTCTATTTTTAAGGCATATCAATGTTGGTCACGCTTATCAAGCAGAAATTCCTGATTTTTGTCAAGGTAAATAATATGTTAAAGAAATTAAATGCTACGTAACTCAGTCCAATTGTCATTGGCTTCATGAACTGATCCTATATTTTGGTTTGGTCACCGCCCTCCCTAGCTTACTCTTACACCAAACAAAATCGCGCGTTTCAGTAGGCACTGGTTGTTCCAAAATACACAAGCACTGCCTTGAAGACACATGTTATCGAAAACTAGCAACTTAATAATATCCTGTATTCTTAATAGGCACGTTTCACACCCATAAAGCAGGACAGAGCGAACTGCTATGTAGCTAACTCGTTCTTTGGTTTGAAGACGGATATCTCGACTACGTCACAAGCGACGTAATTTTGCTAAAACTAATCAAGCCTTCTGAATCTGTGCCTAGATTTCATCAGACACCAAACCACCAGGACTGATGAGACTCCCGATGCTAATGAAGAGGTCGATAAATTCAATTACTTTATTTTCTATCTTTAGTTAAGGCGTTGACACAAAGCAATCCTGAAGCGACAATTTAACACTTGTAGAAAAAGAGTTACATACCGAAGTTGTTTAAGACTATCAGAAGTCTCTGCATTTCACCAGCAACTTCACCGAAAACGACTATATCATCTGCGCATTTTAAGTTAATAAGTTAATCTGCTGGTGAAAGATTAACTCCTAAAAATTTATCTGATGAAAGTACTATCTGTAAAGGCATATCTATAGCAAAGTTAAATAAAAATGGAGAAAGCGGAAAACCTGGATGAACACCACTTGAACTGATTAACTCTGATGACAGTTCACTATAAGCTGTGGTTCGACCAATAGCGTTCGAATAAAAGATCTGTACAAGGTTAATGCACTTCTTTGGCATGTCTTTCAATAACAGACACTTCCACAAAACCTCATGAACAATAGAGTCATACCCTGCCTTAAGGTCAAAGAATATAACTATTGTCGCACGTCGAAAAGTATGTCTGTGCTCCAGAACCTACCAAATGGTGAATATTTGGTCTATATGTCCGCATCCAGGTCTGAAACTAGCCTGATTTCCTCGGGTTCGCTCTTCATTCACTCTAGTTAGACGTTGAGATTTTATTAAGAGTAATATATTAGACGTTACTTTAGATAAACTAATTCCTCTGTGATTGTCACAAACTGATTTTTGCCCTTTCTTTTAAAATGGGATGATCAATGATGGGAAGCGGACAACAGACGATGAGTTGGAACCGGAAACTTGGTAACTGGAATGACTAAACGTTATTTCCACAATTTTCATTGAATTATTATAATGTATTATAGTACGTTTAGTCATTTTCATCATGAAAATGTTTCTTTTTAAAAAAAGAAAAACTATATTACTGAATCGAATTGTTAAATTTTGTTTTATTCCCTGCTCTTATGATTAACAAAAACATTAGAAATTACATCAGATGAAACTAACAAAGAATCATCATCCAACTGGGAAATGTTACTGTGGTATCCAGCTTATCTTGATGAACATGATCCTAAGAATATAGAGTCATGTAAGTTCCTTTTTTTGTTTTCTGGCATCACTAACATACAATTAGTTGTGTGTTGAGTAGTGATTTTTTTCCCTTCAGAATTCAACTAATATTATCGATTAGTAATTATGTATAATTTTCCATTTTTCTCTTTTACCCCATATACTAAATCTCATTATTGTTCAATCTATTATTTTACTGTACTTGAGATCAAACTGATTAAGGCCTATAGTCTATGTGTCTTTCACAGTGGAGAAGTAATAAAGTTTTAAAAGAAACAATCCACGAAAAACGCAACCATAATATCATTTAATCACTAGGCACTACATAATCTTTTAAACACATATGCATTGGTACAAGGAAGCACCAAATAGATATGCGCCACACAAATCATTCGATTTGTGTGAGGGCTGTGATACTGCCTGGGTATCCAGATCGAAGCAGGCGGTTTACTTTCGGGGCCATACCTCGAGCCTTCGACCTAAAGGTCTGATCCACAAGACAGTGGAGCAACGTCAGGAGATGCAGTGGCATGTTACGTCATTTGTTTCCTCGGGATAATGGAGCCCATGTTTACCATTGGTTTGGAATCAGAGTTTTCCAACTCCCCTAGGTGAATTGTCCGTGTCCACCAACCCGGTTAAAGCACCGTCCTCTCAATTTCGTAAACAACAATAATGCCACGAGTTATTGTGTTTGTATACACGTGGCCATTTGGGAGCATTTGGAGAGGGAGAGCTGACTCTTTCACCCCCGGCCGTACCAGGGAATTTGAGGGCACTGCATAATGAAGATAACTTAATACCTTTAATGTATGTATGAACTAGTTTAAATAAATTCCCTTCCTTACTCAATAGTCAGAAATATTATTATTAGATTATTTAAGATTGTTGTAAGCAAATCTCTTGTTTAATGTTAAAGTATTACCACTAAAAATTATGTATAATGAACAATTGATTTCAATTATCTCGTGATCTCATCTATATAAGTTCTATACAGAGTTTGTCAACAAATTGTGATTATGATTATGAACATTTCCCGTTGGTAAAATAATGACATCAAATGGCATTGTTATTATATAATCGTATGTTATGAGTTGACTCTACAATTGCTACTCACAAAACTGAATTATTTACTATTATTAAAAGAAATCACTTATAGTCAACAGAATATAAAGTAAAGAAGATTGGGAAATTTCAACCTTATCATAGATCACTCATTATTTTCAAAGAAATGAATATATAGATCGTAGGTGATTAAAAATATTCATCAGAAAAACCTAGATCTGAGTTTAATTCTAATCGGAAATCGTTAGCAAGTTATATCCACAATCTTTATAGGATTGATATTTCCTAGCGGGATTCAAGCTCACATTGTCCAATTTCACAACCTAAGACGTTATTATTGAGCTATTTGGATCGTGATTAACATTTTAGAAGATCTGATGTATTTATAACTGATTAATTAGTGCATAGAAGCCTATGTCGTATTTGTTTATAAATCACCTTGTACCGTTGTTGCATCTGCATTACAACCTGTAGTAGTGTATCACTTACTTAGTCAACAACATATATATAGCCTTTGATCATTATATCAAAGTACTAGAATCTTGTAACATATCTATTGAATACATTCTTCTATTTTGTATTTTGTTTATATTTTGTTCTCCCCCCCCCCTAACTCACCATTTCGTTGTTGTTACTATCACTGTTTGTTTTTTTCTCAAAAAATTATTTTATTAGTAAATTTACTGACAAAAATTGCCTGTTCACCAGCTGTACGTAATTGTGGATTAAATATGGAATATACATTTCATTTATTGTGTAAATATAAAGGTGATGTAGAAATGACATTGCATGCTCTATTACGTGATACATTAGTTGTGTATGATTATGTTTATGCTGGTAAGTTATTAGTGTTATCTCTATTAAATGTGTTTGTGTTTTATGAATTATGTAATGAGTTTGACTTATATGTTCTCAATTCATAGATTATAGAGTTCATTATAATGAGTTTACTTCATTCTAGTAATGACCTGTTTAACTAATGATATTAATGATTTATTTTGTATTGGTTATTTGAATTTTCTGGTTATTATATAAGACTGCAAATGATCAGTCTCTTATTGGTATATGTGCATCCTGTATGAATTGCTTCGATATTTCTGTAAGTCACATGCATTATAAGCAGAGATGGACGATGGCTAGTGGTAGACGGGCGTTTCGTCCTATTGAGGATTGTTCAACTGAATATACCTGCACCCCAGAGTTAATGCTCAGTTCGGGACTCTAACTCAGTGCCGTTCACTTCAAACCCCATCACATTATCCATATTAACGAATAATAATAACGACTGGATATCCTAATGCGTATCGGTTCACGCCAATTTTTCTATTCCCCAATACTTGATTACAACATAAGAACTCAGATGGGTCTTGTGGATATTATAGTAATTTCAATGGTTAAGATCATGAGTCAGTTGAAGCTAGACCACCATTGAAAACCTGGAAGTACTGGACGGCCGTCTCCTCCTAGTGTGGGACTCCTCAGCAGTGCTCATCCATGACCTCGCTTCCTGCGAGATTCGAACCCAGGACCCACTGGTTTCGCGCGCGAGCACTTAACCACTAGACCACTGACATAAGAACTGTTAACCGGCTTGCCTATTATTATCATTATGATTTAAAAGATTACATGAATTATATGGCCATAACCCACCTCAAACAGATCACAATTTGTATACAAGTTGGTCGGATACCGTACAAAACTGAGTAATAGGTGTATAATTAATCGACAGTTAATAATATAAATGCGTGAGAGGAGAGAGGAGGAGGAATATGAAAACACCATAAACTAAATACTTATAAACTACATAATAAAAATTCAAATAATAATTCTTCGTAGAATAGTCCTAGAAATTTTATCTTTCCCAATTATTTGCTTTGATCTAACACTTGTAATGTATGATAAAAGTAGGAAAAAGTGAAACTAAATACGATAACTTTGAATTGTATTATGCTTTAATCAGTTGGTTTCGTAGCTGGTTTGATGCATATTTACCAAACAGTTTAGTTCACTCTATTTATTTTTCATTTAACTTTAATTGTAAACTCTTTATTTGGATCATTGTTTATGAACACTGAGTCTGTGTTTATACTTGTGAATACAAACTACTGACGAATAATCTAAATATTCCAGGCCGAAGCATATATTAAATCTTCTTCGACTTTCAGTCGTTTCATTATATAATCTTTTATTTTCAAACTATGTAATATATTCTCCTGGTTTTATAGAAACTACAGCTTGGACAACTGAAGAGATTGTACGCTTTCAACAAGGCTTAGCTATGCATGGAAGAGATTTTCATCAAGTTTCAAAGGATTTACAAGCAGCTGGAATGAATAAAACAGTTAAAGCATGTGTAGAATTCTACTATGTATGGAAACGAATGAATACACCATCTGATGTTAAATGGTACGGTGTTTAGATCATTTTTATCATTACTATAATTAATATTTTTATGATCATTAGTAGTGTAACTGGTTATTTTTCTATTTCTTTGTTTCTGTTCAATTTTTTCTTATCCAACACTACTTTTCCACTTAATTCTTTCATGCACCTTTAAAGTCTCTTTCGGAGGGATCCTACTCACCGCCACCTTCAAGTGGTATATCATTTCCACAAATATATGAGAGGGTCAAAACGGAACACCTAATTGATAAGCATATAGGATAAACCTAGGGGAATTGAAAACCTCTGATAGAACGAATGTCATACTAACGTATTACAATCATTGGTTACGATAGAATCAAATTTACTGACGTCACTCTACTACTTTCACGACTCTGCTGCCATGGAACATGAATCTAAAATGTTCTGAACAAACACTTCAACTAGGATTGCTGGTTATTTTTCTGAAATGAAAATACAAAATGGACAGTCTTACTACATATAAATTAATTTAGCATTATTCGTTATCATACAGTACTATTGTGTTAATACTTAGTTGAATAACAAATTCATTCCGCTTAATGGAACACAACTTCAATTTTCTTTAGATAAGATGTAACTAGAATGGACTGATCAGATAAGTAGTTATTCAAACAAAGACTATCATCACTGTGTCATTAAACCTTATCCAATATTCTTGTGAAGCTATATGTCACATTTAAAACATTATTCATTGGTTGAAAAATAATGCACACATTCCAAACCATCTTTTACTCCAGAGTACTATTTTACCTAGCTCAAAACTATGTCGAAAATCGATCCATGTAACTATTTATTATCGAGCTTATCCATATTAAGAAGATGTGCTTAGTGCCCGCACATTAATTCTAATGTACTGTAGTGAGAAAACACTCAAATAGGGATCATCGATTTCTTTCTCATACAAAATTACAGAATTTCTTTATAAAATATGAACTTAGTCATGTAGGTAGGTGTAAACTACCTGGTTGGGATCCGCTAGACGATAGCAATCGATGATTAGAGACCTTGAATGACATGGCTCAAAATCGTTTGCAGTAGCGCAGGTGCATCTACTCTTTGTGTTCTCCCAAATTCTAATCTTCTGAATTCTTCATGTCCCTTTTTTCCTCTTTCCAAATTTATTTCACTGGATTATACTCATTGAATAACATCTTCGAACCCTAATCTTTCTGATTACTGCTTATACTTTTACAACCTCTACAACTACGGAATTTAAATCGACAACTACATCTCTGTGCTAATGTGGTATGGCAACTCGAACTAATATGCATACGTACGAAGTTCTACGTTGTTACTGACTGACTGACTATCTCTCAAAAACTTCAATTGTTCCTTCATTCTCTGTTTACGTTTTTGTTCTATTCAATTCGATCTTCTCAACCTTTTGCTGCTAGGCATTCCACTTCTGTTTGGTGTTATTTGCTACTTATGTCTGTCGACATAAGTAGCATACATCACAGTAGGACTAAAGATCCTAGATAACAAGATAATAACCAATCGCAGTATCAGTGGTTCATTTATTATTTATAATTCGTTAAATCTTAAGTTTGAATGTGATTGCATACTTTATTCGTTTTATAATTTCATTCTATTCTTTCAATCTTCACGAAGTCATTGACTGTTGTTCTCAGTCCTATTAGTCGGTTCAGACTTCCTGATTGAGATACCTACTATTATCGTAACCAACAGTTGAAGAGTTAATTTTTTCTAATCGAAAAATGATCACAATAGCACAGTTAAACGTATCCTTTTATCTTTAAATATTTTTACTACAACTACAGTTACAACGACCACTACGGATATGAATACTTTCACACTTTCCCTTTTCTGGTTTCTGCCTTGATAATTACATCTGATTGTGGTAAAATAATATGGCAACTTAAGGCTATGGATATATTCTCTAAATTCTACATTGCTTATGATTAACTCTGTATACTTCGTTTTCTGATACAATTGATAATAATTATATCAACTTCGTTTGTTCTATTTCCACCCCTCCTTTCATTGTACTAATCATAATATGAGTCCTAAATTATAATGATTTATATTACTACCCCCCTTGGTCCTAACCTCATTTAAAACTACTTCTAACCAACAGGTTGAAAGATTATTTAATCAATGTTTTATAATAATCCGAATATGTGATTAATTATGTTTTCCTAAAAACAAATTTGCACTAATTCACAAAATATTTTGCAGTTTCAGTAGTAGCATAATAGTTTTATTCAGATACCACTTGAATGGAATAACTGGTACTATTTTAGAAAACGCATTAGTGATTATTTTTCCAAACACTTTCTGTCGTCCCTTAAATTGTGAGATTGAAGTCGCTTCATATCTTTATTACTACGAGCTAATTCTTTCTTCCTGTATTATATCCTTATACAAAATCTCTCTTTTATATATTACCATCATTGAAGTAACTACTTCTATGAATTCGGTGTTTATGTTGTTGTGCTAATGAGGTATGGGAACTTGTACCGATGCATGTATTTGGCTGGTCCTACGTTGTAGCTGACTGATTGAATACACAAATATATATACAGCCAGATAAAAATCACCTCTCAATCATCAACTTTGGTTGTTCTAACAAACTAACGTGTTTATGTGTGTGATGTAAGATACAAGTTAATCACTGATCAGGAAAATCATTACTGTTAGGAAAAATATTTAGTTGATTTGAAGGGGGGTATAAAATTCCATTTCATTTATAAACACTATTGATTACGGATTAACTTCATTGTGTCCCTCATTATGAAAACCAGGAATTACCAGACGTTTGTTTAATCGTAATATGAGTTTGAACTGTTGATGAGCAGTACTTATTACTATGCGACATCTGTCCTGTTCTCTCGAGTTTACGAGATTACTCCATATGAAATAGTTTAGAAAATTTCTGAAAAGCTGAGAATTTCCAAAGGTATTTTTTCTAGTTAATTAAAGTTTTAAGAAAATCTTTAGAAAAGGTAACTTATTACATTCTTTCCTAGTTTGATTAATGAGATGCTGGAATCATTGTAGATATTAATATCTTTTTGAATATTCTATAAAAACCTAACATCACTAATAACCATAAAGATTGTCTTTATTTTCTGAAAGGAAAGCGTTTTTTTCATATTTCCGTCCTCTGTTTTCGTCAGGCACATAAGAAAGTACACACTCTGAGGAGTGGGGTGGTGGTGGCTAGAAATCAGTTAGTGATAATCAATGTAGAATGTGATACATGCTTATTGGTTTCACACTGCATTCATCAGTACATTTGTTATACTCTCTATGTCTTTTTCTAATATTCAAGACTTGTTGAAGTCAAAAAAAGAGAAATAAATTTAAAAAAGGGTATAACGTTTATGTTTAGTATCTTCATTTTATTATATGTAAACATTGAATATGGTTTATAGTTTACTTCAATTTGTTGATAAATAATTCATTCCTTTAGTCGAAACGTTTATCTTGTACCGATCGAAATTGTGTCTAATATTATGTTTTACATATTTAATTTGATTGTGATAGTGTATTGAATGAAATGGTTAGAACTTATGTTACATATACTCAACCACTCATCCATCAATGCCCAATACTGGCCAATGTAGGAATAGTTTTTATAATTACTAGTAATGGTTAAAGCAAGAAGTGATATCCGTTTGTGGTTTGAGCCATATTGGGTAGATACAAACTAAATGAATTGGTGGTCGCACCATTACATCACTTGAACTAATGCACATACATGATAGGATCTATGTTACTTACTGACTGGTGGTTTATCTAACACATAACCTGAAGCAGATTGCCAACAGTGTACTCAATAATTACTCAAACAATTTTATAAATAGATCATGTCTATGGAATAAAACTATAAAACTTAAAAGTTGTAATCAGGTAGTAGAACGAATGTAAGTATTAATCGAGCATTTATTCATAGTTTACATCAGATGCTGAATTTGATCCAAAAATACTGTTTGATCTTATCGTTGAATCCTTTAGCAGTATGCATCCATGACTTCACTGAGAACTTTCAGGCCTCGCAACATTCATTTAACATTTAGACCACTGAGTCGACAAACATTGGTTTACATGTTTAATCGGAATCAATCACGTCTTTGGAATCACCTCCGTCTTCCACTTGTTATTTATTTTTTTCAAAACATAATTTGTATTTACTTAACCGAACATACTTTAATATCTACTACTGCTTAATATAAAAAGACTATGAAGTAACAATAACATAAGAAAATTAGTAAAATTTAGTAAATATATGTGTGAATATACATTTTCATTTATATAATTAGTTCATTAGTCAGTCATCTACAACGTAAGACCAGCCAAATACATGCATCGGTACAAGTTCCCATACCTCATTAGCACAACAACATAAACACCGAATTCATAGAAGTAGTTACTTCAATGGTGGTAATATATAAAAGAGAGATTTTGTATAAGGATATAATACAGGAAGAAAGAATTAGCTCGTAGTAATAAAGATATTAAGCGATTTCAATCTCATAGTTTAAAGGAAGATAGGGAGTCTATACACCTACGCCATTGTGATCCATTCTGAGCCATGTCATCCAAAGTCTCCAACCACTGATTACGATAGTGACGCGGACCCCGAACAAGTAGTCTGCATCTACCATCCACATGGCTTACACTAGAAGTTAACGATTTCAAGCATTGATGCCACGTTGTGGTTTAGCCACCCCTAACATTCTTCCAACCATCCTCAACGCTATTCAGCATTGCGCGTCGTGGTAATCGGTGTTGAAACATAGATACCACGTGGTCTAAACATCTCAGTCAATGAAAACTCACAACCTCATCAACTGGTTTACCATCACTCCTTAATACCCTGCCTAATCAATTAATTAGATAATTTTTCATATAAAAAATACCGTAATATCAATAGATTAAATCATCGGACATCGTTTCCTATCAACCCAACATAAAAATGTATCTGGTTTTCTCTTTTCTTTTCATTACATATGCATAGTAAGACAGTATGAAAAGGTGAATTAGTTGTGATATTGAAATTAAAAGTGATGAAAAGAATGTTTCTAATCTAATGAGAAAAAAACATGTTTTTTCGTACTATTCATTATCACGTTTAAACTGGTTACAAATAGTTGTATATCCCTGATCTACTTAAATTTAGATATGGATCAGAAATAGATTTGGTTTGTTCTATATTCATAAGAATACATCTTTACTTGTCTACATGTGTATATGATGTGTGTGTGTTTGTGTTTTGTATAAACATGTTGCTTTTACAGGTTTTGTTTTTTTAACGTGTAAATAGCTTTGTGTATATACGGAGTGATTGACTTCAATACATTTTTTTATTCTCATACACTGATCAGTCATTAAGCAGATAGTTAAATAGGTATCCATACTAGGGTTAGAACTTGATAGTTTCAAATAAATTGAGTATTGGGTAGAGAGTTAATAATAAATATATACATTTTTAATGGTTGAGATGATGAGTCAATTGAAGCTAGAACATCATAGAAAACTTGGAAGCATTGGACGGCCATTTCTTTCTGCTGTGGGACTCCTCAACAGTGCGCATCCATGATCCCGCATCGTCAGATTTGAACCCATGAATGCTTAACCTGTAGACCACTGAGCCGGCTGGCATCCAACGGTGTTATTATCTTACTCCAACTAATCCATGAAATTGAGCGACACATCCACCATTGTCTTCAGGGAGTTACTATCTCACAAAAGACCCCATTGAACTCCACTGGTCACTGCTTCTTATTAAAACTCCAGGAAATACCTCTTGAAACTTCAATTGACTAATGATCTCAACTATTAAAATATATTCTCAACCACTAAACCATTGCTCCACAGGGAATGTTGGTCCTTTTTATAGTGAAGATATATCATCTCTAATTCTGAATACTAAATTATGATTAATCTCTTCTAAACATAAAACATTTGTTTACACTTCTCATATCTAATTTACCTTGTCAGGGAAATTCTTATTCAGATTTATTTTACTTAATTCTACTGTAAAAGTGACTAGTTACTCATGAGTGAATACATAAATCCTAATTGTTTAATTATATTTTCCATTCTATTTTTATTTCAAGGTATAGAGAAAGAGCACGACGTCAACGTCCACTTGCTCGTATAGAACCAATAATCACAGAAGAATCATTATCGGAACAATTTGAAGCTATTGAACAATGTAATACATATACAACAGATATGAATTCAATACAAACATTAGACAATAATATTAATAATAATAATAATAATTCAATTAATGTGCCTTATAATTTACGTCGTAAACAACAACAAACAACAATATCAGTTCAACCACCACCATCATCATTATCAACAAACTTGAAATCAGATCATCAATTGACTACTAAAGTGAATACCAACGATATTGTTGTGAATAATGATAATAGTAATTCCTTGGAAAATTCCTATGATGATTTTATGGATATTGTTTTCAATGAAGTAAGTAGGATAAGATTTCCATTGTCATTATCGTTATGATTACTACTCCTACTACTACTGAATAGGAGTTATTATTTATCTCTATCAAACTTACATATTCAATGTTAAGAATAATCTACTTTCTGATTGTCTAGTAAGTCTGCAATGTAAAACAAAGCTAGTGTATTGTCAGCGATTCTCTGACTGATAATAGTTAGCGGATGAACGCTTACGTTTGATAGAAGAACACTGTAGGTCTGATAAGTTATTGGCAGGAAACTTTGGACCTAGATTTCTTTCTATTTCACACTCACCAACAAGGTGTTATTTATCTACATGCTGGAATTGCTTGAAACCTGCTGCAATATATATGGTAATTTGAAATTCCCATTTTTTAAACTAGAGAAAAACATATTACTTAAGCCTGTTACCTATGGTGGATCATAGGTCACAGACCAGAATTAGCCAACCGACTCTGTTCTGGGCTCTCCTTTCCAGTTGTATCCAAGTGTTATTCATTTCTTTGATGTCTGTCTCCAGTTGTTGGCGCATTTATTTTTTTGGTTTGCCTCTTTTTCTCTTGCCTTTAAGGATTCCAAATTAGGGTTTGACTCGTGATGCAGTTTGATGATTTCAATTAGATCTTAATCAGACTTTACTGTATTATATCAACCAAGGACGTTTGTGGGTTGACGATAAAAATGAAGCAGATTGCATAACTGAATATAAATTGATGATGATATAACAGGTAAACTATTCTCGATAAGCATTCTAATGGCTAAAATCAATGTTTCAATATAGGAAGTAGATCCAAACTTGGAAAAAATAAACACCAAGATATATATATATGCGGGGGATAACTTGTTGAAAACCCCTTTACTTTAAACTACAATTCAATAGAGATGTAGCTAGCGTTGTTCTTCACAGTAAAACTAATGAGAACTGTTAAAAGAACGCTGTATACGGTTAATTTTACGTTTTCATTTTCTAGTCCACGGATAAGATCTATCCAAATAAAGGATACTTCACTTGCGCTTACCTCTTCAGTATGTAACCATAAATTCAGATGCTCCTATAAAGAGATAGCTGTATATTCGATTTAGAACCAATCAAATTAACCAACGAATATATAAATATCTCTCTGTTTGTGAAAGAGTTTAATAAAAACAATACTTAGCTTTATTTGACCACACTTGATCAACACAGATCATGTAATCAAATCATTCCCATAAGAGTTCAATCATCTCTTACATATACTCTACAACGATTCCAATCTATGACCCTAACTTATGTATTCTTTGACCACATAATCGTTTACAAACAACTTGGCTAATCATCATTATTGATTGCTTTCTCTCACCTTCTTTTGTATAGTTTGTTCATTACCTAATCACTACTTGAACACATTTTATTATGCAATTTTGACAATGTTTGAATAATGCTTATTTTCTAATGTCTAATTTTTTCAAGTTTTGACCTACTTCCTATGTTGATTTTTAGCCTTTAGTATTTGTTCTTATTATTTCATAATTCACCTTTCATCTCATTATTAATAATTTGTACTTGTTACTTATTCTAATTATGTGTATTATGCTATGTCATTGTTTATCGTCTAATTGCAAACTTCCATGATTGATTAAAAAATCTTCATATCAATATTACTACATATTAAACTAAAGCTTGATGAAGAGATATGGCGAGACCATAATTTATAAATGAAACAATCAGGTATAATATAGTAGGTCTTGGATTTTGGGCGTGAAATTCACTCATCCATCTAGTTAAATAGAGTTTTGGTATTTTAGCTGATGGGCAGTTCGTGATGAAAACCCTAATTATTAGGTGGACACTTTCAAGGTCAGTCTATTGTCACTCATAGGTCGTCGATAAATTATTATTTCACCGAAGATATTATCGAAAACAATATTGTTCTTGTTTTTTTCCTAATCTACTGATTGAACTGATGTTTCAATATACTACTGAATAGAGGTTAAGTAGTTCAACAATACAAGTTAAATAAATCTATTGCAGTGTTATTTGAGAGTTAGTTATATGAATAACAAATTACAAGATGTACTGTGTATCAGAAAGCAGTATACTAATGTTAATCAGATGAATATATCCTCATTTATAATAAATAAAACTTTAAAGAGTATGACACGAATATAAAACATGATCATGAAAGGGGAAATAATAAAGTTATATTTTGAAATAAAATAACTGGTTAAATTCACTTGGTATTGTTTACTTGGATCTTCCCAGTGATTTTTAGGACTTCAATTGGTCGGTCTCTTATTAACATATGTGCATACTATGCGTATTGGCTCGATATTGCCTTAATTCACAAGCATTCTAAGCAAAGATGGATGGTGGCTAGCAGTAAGAATCTAAGGAAGCGTTTTTCGTCCTACTTAGGACTGTTCAGCTGGATTTACCTGCATCCCAGAGTGGATATTAACTCCGGAATGCAGATAAATTTAGCTGACGATTTTCAAGTAGGATTCCACAACTGGGCATTACCCATATTTGCTTAAAATAATTGGTTGCAAAAAGATGAGTCGTTTTTTTAGATCGGAATAGTTGATAGAGACTATGGTCATGGTGTTGTAAGAGCTTGCGAAATTTCGTCTTAATCAACGGTCAATTATTATTGTGTATATTTTTTACAAATAATTAATTTTTATAGTTTCTTCGTTTTGGTGATTGAAACTGAGGTTTTTGTACTTGTAGTGACATATTAACGTAGTTACTTCGAGGAGGAAATACGTTCATGTGTATGAGCTCACTTCAACTTTTCAATGGAATTATTTCTGATAAATTCATTTTAATTGTGTTATATCTCATATATTCTGTGTTTCTTTATCATGTGAATGTTCGACCCTGAAGTATTGTTAAGGACCACAATGAATAAAGTTGCCTCGACACATATCTTCGTAAAAGGAAACTATCTCTTTTAATAAATCTCTATCTTTACTCTTCCTCATGTGAAAAGGAGTGGAGATCTAAACTTTTACGTCGATACTATAATTTGTGAATGAACCCCTTGAGTTTTCGCGCAAAATTTATTGGTCAGATGCACAAATAGACCCAACTATGTTCTAAAGATAGTCAGCCAAAAACAACTTGAAAATAAAAACCGAAGAATTTCGAGTCTTCTAGAAGATTCCAACCATCATTTTTTTATATCACCAAAAGTTTAAAGCATTTCGTTATACTTTATACTATAGTTGTCGGAACAAGAATAAGCAATATCACTTATCCATTATGACTTTATCTGATCATCTTCATATCTATCTCTTAAGTTGTTTTTGGTGGGGTGGGGAGATCTAACATTGACCTAAATTTTGATCGATTATACGGACAACAAATGATCCAATCATTTCAGGTTTTTCATACTTAACAATTCTGAATGTTTTATCTGTGTAGCTCATTTGGTTACTTTTGGCGAATATCTACAGCCTACTTCAATTAACACTACTCTACACACTCAGATTTGAATAGGTTTGTTGAAATGACACACGAACTATAAAAGACTTAAATTAGTAAGTGTGAGACATCACACAAAAATCTTATAAGTTGTCAATTACTCTTCGTTAAAAGATATTTGTAACTAGGGCTGAAGGTGTCGCATTCTCTGGAAAGTATTTCCCGATAGTGTTGTCTAAAAGGACAATGAAAACTTTACAATCAAACCATCCAGCTTAGAGAAAACGTTTTTATAAATTCAGTAATCACCATCAAAGAATATCGATTGATTATATCTTTTTGAACGACAATATTTTACATCCGAAACGTAAATTGATAATCATGTCTGCTACTAAAGAGTACCAGGATGAATCAACGATTGAAATATGTCTAACACTCAATCAGCTTTTAACTGGTTAAATTGTTTTATGAAAATAAAATCACTTGATAATAATAATTAGTTAATTGTTTTCACATTCATGAGACCTATTTTTTCTAATATTTACTTAATTTGAACAGTCTTTCCCCATTTATTAGACTACATCGATTGGATCGTTACCGAAGTATAATACTACTACGACTACTGTTGTAATGACTACAACATCTAATGCTGTCATCTCTTCACATTCTGTATTTACATCTTCATCTAACTCGTGCTTATCATCATCATCAATCCAAACATCAGCTAATTCTGTCGTTGTCTTCACTACGAGTTGCTTAACTACTGTCACCACCACCACTACTACTACTACATCCACTCCCACTGTATCATCAACATTTACTTCTACATCGTTGAGTGATAAAAAACATTCAATTTATACATGTCATATATGCAACAAAGCTTTCAATAAAATCAAATCACGTAATGCTCATATGAAAACTCACAGTGATAAAATTATCACCAATAATAAGTCACATCGTCAATACATTTAATCAATTTTATTTATGCTACTCTTTCGGATATCAGTAGTTAAAAGAAAAAAATAAAGGAAATTTATTTCAGTGTGATATATTTGTGATACATTTTAAGAGAAACGTATTTCTATCAGAATCCTTTTTTGTTTCTTTTTCTTTTTTAATCGAACGACAATAACCCATCTGAATTATATTCCTATCCTGTGAAGTTTTTTTAAAAAGAATTGTTTCTGTTGTTTATCATTTGTCGTTACTGTTTTCTAGTTATTTCCGTCCTATTGTTTCATATTCTCATTTTTATTAGAAAATCATTAGATTGATAGAAGTCAATAGTCGATGAGGGGGGATTGTATTTGTACGGTTTTCTGTACACTTCATAGGTTGATCTTTTTTTTCGGTACATATTCCCTTTACGTAATTTGTTTGTACCTAATAAATCCTACTGTCACTCTTTTCTTTGTACGCCTAAATTGGACAGGTTGTAAAGTAAATAAATGAAGTTATTTTTTTCTCATTTTTATTTGCTTATCAACATAGTGGATAATATCAACATAATTATCTTTACACCTAATATTGGAAATATATCCATTTTCTGTATTACTATTCATCACTAACTTTTGAAGTATTATAAGTAGTATAATTAGTTATCATCAAAATCTTCATCATTCATTTTGATTATATTTTCTTGTCATAATCTTGGATATTTATCATATTCATTAGATTCATTATCGTTTACATCGCATTGTACTTTTTTTTCCTAATTGATGAAATGTTATCTCTTCGTAATCTGCTTAAATTCCTTTTGTTGTCGTTGCAGTTGTTGTTAAGGGAAACAACTAATATTCCTTAGATTTTTTTCTCGTTTTAAACAGATATTCAAATAAACAAAAAGCGCCTATTTTGTTTTTAGAAGAAAAAAGAAACAATCTTTTAACTACTTTACTTGCCTATTATACGTGTGTGTGTGTGTATGTGAACCCGCAAGCACTTTGGTTTCGTTTTTATATTTATTTATATATTAACCTTATTTTTCTCTTTTAAATTTGTATTCCCGCTTTGTGGTATCAGTTTAAACAAATTTATGTTGTGTATAGGTTATATCCTTTTTTTAAACAAAATATTATTCAATGAATTATGCATACGACAGTGAATAACGACGACGATATGTGCCACCTAATCATCATATACAGACATACTGATCAGACAATAACCGGTTTAAAAATGTTTGTTTCATAGATTCTTTTCTTTTTTTGAATATTGACCAGAAATCATAAATAGATCAGTTAGTTTTATTGAAATTTTACTTATTCTCTATCATTTGTCTTATCTTAATCGTTATTAGATTCATTAAACACTTATTACATTACAGATGGTTTCTATGTTGACATGGCAATATACCCCAATGATCATATGTATATTTTAACTTTTCTTTATAAAAGAAAGAACAATATTGTTGTATTTAAAGCATGAATTTTGATTATGGAATGAATAAATGAACAAGAATAGTTCCTTTGATTATATACATATGGAATTATCCTTCAATTGTGTGCGAATGTGGAAAGCTTTCCCCCTTTTGGAAATATATTTTCTTGTTTATCAAATGTGTTTCTTATCATTATTATATAAACAATAATACTGTTGCCAGGCTACTCTATACACCGGTATCAGATGTAATAATTTGCAGTGTTGTTTCTTTCAATCTAACTAATCAATGTATAAGATTTATTTGTATATTCATTTTATTCTAGATAATAATCATAATAATAATAATAACGTGTATTGGTTTCCATGAAATGTCCATTTTAAAAACAGCAAACAATTTTACTTTCTGTGTGTTTATTTCTTGTCATTATTGTTTATATTCTTTTCAAGTCAACAGATTTATTTGTCCAATATAAAAAAGAGGCAGTAAATGATAAATTTTATCAAATACAAAACTTTTCATTATTGCCTTCTTATTATGCGCCATGTTTTTCTGTCACTCATACTGTGTGATGTGTGTGTGTGTGTCCAGAAAGGCCTATGTCCCTGACCACCCCCTTCCCTTGTGTATGAGTTTCAAGTCTTCTCACTTCATTGTCACTGTTGTTTGTTTTTTTCGTTAGAAAATAACAGGTTGCCAGTTTCTATGGATATCATGAATTAATTAGTTGTTTGTTTGTTTTTTCTCCTTCCCTACGTTGCATCATCCAATTTTCTTGCCTTATCGTTATCATATTTTTGTGTCGACATTTTTTTCTTGAGATTCATTGTTACTATTGCTATTGTTGTTAACAATAAAAGTCAATATTATGTATTTACTGATATTTTTATCATATTTTCTGTTAAAAAAATTGAACAGAACAATCACGAACGGCAGTAGTGGTTTTATTGACTTCAACCACTATATAAAATAAAACCTAGTGCGCAGTCCGTTTTTTCGCAATTGCAATTAGGCTACTCATAAGTAGCTGATATTTCTATGCAAAATAAACAGTTGGACAGTGGTTGGCAGAGGAATAGACCACTGAGCCTATTCCTCTGCTAGCCACTGTCCAACTGTTGGATGGAGAATGCTAGTGAGCGGTCTATGCTCCTTCACGAGGAGTAAAAAGCGTAAGTAGGTGACAGAGGAATCCAGGACGCGCGTTTCGTCCTATTTAGGACTCATCAGCTGGATGTACCTGCATCTCCGAGTTGGTGTTCACTCAGCGACTCAAACCTAGTATCGTTCGCTTCGAACGCCATCACGTTATCCACTCAGTCCTGATAACCACTTGCTTGTGTAGTGGGATGAAGTTAAAAACTCACTTCGTATTGTTTGCTTGAATCTTCCCATTCATGTTTAGAACAAAACGCGCATCCTGAATTCCGCTGCTATCTACTATCCATCTTTGCTTATAGTGCTTGTGAATTAAGGCAATATCGATGCAATACGCACAGTATGCACATATGCCAATAGAGACTGATCAATTGCAGTCTTAAATATCAATCGGAAGACTCAAGTAAACAATACCAAGTGAATTTAAAATAAAAAGCGTATGAATAAACAGTCAGGATAAATATGTATTTATATATTTTTTGAAGTAATAATGCACAGTTTATGTAAAGGTAATGAAACTAATAAATGGTTGAGTAATTGCCCAGCATGATAAAATAAATAAACATGCGAATATCACAAAGGTTATATAAGAGATGAATATGAGAAGGAGGAAGAAAAATAAAATGTTAGGGACAGGGTTGAAAAAATGAATAGAATTAACAAAGGTTATTAGACAAATATCCAAACACCATGTCAAGGGAAAGCTGATGAAACATTCCTTCTGTATACATAGGTCAGTTTTTGAACGTCTGATAGCAATCGCCTCTGCAAAATAGAGTAAGATTGATATTCTTCATCTGTTGATTATTTTGAATGCATCACTTACATTTATTTCATGTTCACCATCCAAAAAATGTCTGGCAATTGCGCTTCTAAAGGCTTTACTCTCGTTCAATTGTAGGTTCCTAGGTGTGTTCAGAAACCTTAGTAGAGGCTTTTCTCTCTATCTACTTAGCATCATAGGTACATGTAAATTCATAGATACAATTAGAGATGACATTGGAAGGGTATTGAACTGTCTTTGAATGGTATAATGAACGTCTGTTGTTATACAGTGAAACCAGTTAAACAGCAAGGAAGTTTTTTCATTGCCGTCTTGACTCTTCCTGAAACCTCATCCCCCTTGAACGGGAGGCGGATGAAGACAGATTTCTTTTCAACAGTTGGTTATTTATCATCTTTGGGATATTTTTCCTATATCTCGTAATAAATCCATTCGAGTATCCGTTTTTTATGAAGTGGTTTTCCAGGATAGCCAGTTCCTCACTTATTTTGCCTTTTGAGGATAACGTCCTAGCTCTGTTGAAGAGCGTTTTGAGTATACCCATCTTGTAGCTGATAGAACAAAAGCTGCTTAAGTTTAAATAATATCACGTAAATAATGAACACACAACAAAAGATATCATAAATATACCTGATACATTCAATTGCTCCTTTTTTGAAAACTGAAATGCACCTTTCAAACTATTTGCCGACAGTTTTTCTAAGAATTAGTTTTAACAACTTGGCTAACCACTGAACCAACTTATATGATGAGTTCACCATAGAAATTATAGATCTTAACAGAAAGTTTTATTTGTGAACTTCAAAAAGCAGTCATGATCTTTTTGCCTTCAGATTGTTGTAAGTTAAATGATCAATCAGCTCCTTCAAAAATTTATGAAGATGTTTATTGACCTTGTTCTCAATTGTTGCAATGGAATGCTAAACATATATTAGTGATTATATCAATAATTTTAGGTTGTATGCAACTGACCTTAGTTAGATAACTATTAGGATGCAGTAATCCTTGTTTCTCTAATGTAGAACTCTTCAACAGTGCAAAGCTACCCGAGATCGAACCCAGAACTCTTATTCTTCGCTCCTAACGGGTTAAACTTTGATTTTGACTACTGCCTTTTAACTCTATTTTAATAGACAAGGTATAGTGCACAAGAACACAAGTGAGGACAATCAAATGTATGTGGACACAAAACTACAGAACATCTTAGTAAAATCTGAGAACCACCATTCAGTAAATACTTCATTTGCACAATGTCAATCAATTGTCTCATACTTCATTGTTCTTTCGCTTCCAAATCAAGCATTCTTTGTTCTCGTTCTCTTTTCCTTTATCTTCTTAACTTTCAGTCACCTCCAGGCATTTCACTTTCGATTGATGATGAATACATACTACTATCTATATCTGTCGATATCAGTACCACACACTACAAAGTTACAGCAACATGAATGTAAACCCAAACAAAATGAATGAAAATACAAAGTTGAGATTTTTATTTATTGTTCTTATTTATACAAAGTAGGCTTCATATTACAGATCTGTTATGTAAAAATGGTACCGTTTTTATCATCTATTGGATATCATAATCATATGTATGAAATATAATAATATTTGTAGTTAAACGTGAAATTAATGCATCCACCTCTTCATTACCCAAGTATTTATTCCATAAAGAACGTAAAAACTGATTAACTTGATGTTCAAATTGACCAGCTGTTTGACAACCAGGTAAAATATGTTCTGACTTTTTTGTACAATTCAATGATTCACTTGAATGGAAAAAAAGATAATTAAACAACAATAACAAGTGTATAGTTGAAAAGGGTTTAATGGAAATTGATCTATTGTGTAGTTTGTATTGATCACAGATTTATCTCAATTATGATACCTTAACACTAGTTTTAGATTACTCAGTAATGCCCATTCATAACCTCATCATCATGGAGTCGCATTTAGGACCTTCAGGTTTCAAGAAGAATGCTCAACCATTACAACCGTTAAGTCGACGTTCAACGGTACAATCGAAAACTCCAATTAATTTGTGAATTAGTGTGACAATTATTGAATGTCATTGTCGATAGGCAATTCAGTCACATATCTAAAGTCAACCAGTTACAAGTTCTCACTTCAAAATATTTTCGAATTTCGACCAAGAATTCGTAGGGTGACGAAACCGAAACAGGTGGTTTTCTTATGAGGCCACACCTGAAGCCTCCGACCATGTGAATTAAATGAGTCAAAACAGTAACATCAGATGTGATAGAAGAACGAATAAAAGACATGAGATAACAGTAAATGAATATAGCAACTGATTTCAAGTTGTACAACTTAAGATAATTTTAGTTAGTATTACCGACAGACTGGAAGGGACTTCTGGTCAAAATACCAAAGAAAGGCAATCTCACCAACTGTGATAACTACAGGGGCATCACTTTCTCTCAATACCAGGTAAAGTCTTCAACAGGGTATTGTTAAACAGGATGAAGGATTCCGTAGACGCCCAACTTCGAGACCAACAGGCCGTATTCCATAAGGATCGATCATGTAAAAACCAAATCGCAACACTATGGGTCATTGTGGAACAATCAATTGAATGGAACTCATCACTCTACATCAACTTCATTGACTACGAAAAAGCATTTGACAGCGTGGACAGGACAACACTATCAAAGCTCCTTCGACACTACGGCGTACCTGAGAAAATAGTCAATATCATACGAAATTCTTATGATCCATCAAACTGGAAAATCGTGGATGGAGGACAATTGACAGACTCGTTCAAAGTAAAGATGGGTGTCAGGCAAGGTTGCTTACTCTCGCCCTTTCTCTTTCTCCTGGTGATCGACTGGATCATGAAGACGTCAACATCTGAAGGGAAACATGGGATACAATGGACAGCAGCAGCCTCGGCATCGGTAGGTCTCAACATACACAAAGGGAAAAGCAAGATTCTCCGATACAACACACCATGCAACAATCGAATCACACTTGACGGAGAAGCTTTGGAAGATGCAAAAACCTTTACATATCTGAGCAGTATGATTGATGAACACGGTGGATTTGATGCAGACGTGAAGGCAAGGATCGACAAAACAAGAGCAGAGTATCTGTAATTGAAGAATATCTGGAACTCAAAACAATTGTCTGTCGACCAACACCAAAGTGAGAATTTTCAATATAAATGTCAAGACAGTTCTACTGTATGGAGAACTACGAAAGCCGTAATCCAGAAGATACAATTGTTTATTAACAGTTGTCTATGCAAAATACTTCAGATCCGTTGGCCAGACACTATCAACAACAACCTAGTGTAGAAGAGAACAAACCAGATCCCAGTGGAGGAAGAAATCAGGAATAAGTGTTGGAAGTGGAGATGACACACATTGAGGAAAGTACCAAACTGCGTCACAGGGCAAGCCCTCACATGGAATCCTCAAGGCCAAAGGAGGAAAGGAAGACCAAAGAACACATTACGCCGAGGAATGGAGACAGACATGTGGAGAATGAACAACAGTTGGACAGAACTAGAAAGGAAGGCGCATGAGTGAGTGGGTTGGAGAATGCTCGTCGGTGGCCTATGCTGCATTGGGAGTAACAAGCGTAAGTAAGTAAGTTAGTAGTTGGAAATCTAATGGATCCCAACCACGAATCTTGTATATTTATTAATACAAATGAAATCAAATATCACTGACTTCACGGACTGATGACTTGTTTTAGATTAACTGCCACTGATCTTCCTCTAACCTACTAGCTACCATTGAATGTCACCTTACTTGATGATGGATCCACAACATCAATAAATGATTTGTCATCACCTAGTAACAACACTCAAGTTTATTTAACGTTTATAATAATAATAATTAACTCCGCCTGGAGTCCCTCCGGGGGCTACTGCCGGTCCCAAGCCCGGATAAAGGAGGAGGGTTGGGCATGGGGTTAGCGTCCCCGTCCCGTAGAAAACTAACTCGTTAAAAAAAACGCTAACCAGAAAATTCAATAATAATAATTAGAAACAATTCAATCATATTTAAAAACGACATGTAACATAACTTACAATACATCAAATCTTTTTGATAAACTTATTATTAAAATGGAATTGGAATAAATTGAATTTTCTGTATCTGTATAACCATGAAATAATAGAACAATTTCAACTGGCAGTAGATCAATTGAAATGAAATGAAAACAACGTTCACCAGATTTATACAAGTTGTCAAGTTGATTGTCAAAGTCTAATTTCATTTGGTCAAACTGAGTAAGAAAAAAAGATAAATTAAGGTTCGAACTTACAACTCAACACTTTAACTACTTAATCAACCCGTTCTCCTACACCCCGTTACAAAGATTTATTGATAACAAAATCTGAGTGATAATTAGAAATAAAACTACTTCTAATATAGTAACAGTGGTAACGAGAAAGATTAAACATAGAAAATATGAAATGAAGAATTACTGGAACTCAAAAAGGAAGATACAGAATGAAAACATTTAGACTATTGTGACCAATAGTGAAACATTCCACTCAACAACTCTAATCAGTGAATCGCGTTACCATGCTGACTGCAACTAAAGTTCATTAGTTAGAAGTGAGTGAACTAAATGTCAAACTGCTACATGAGCGTATAACCATTTTAGTTAGTAGTATGATATCGAAGAGAAATGTAATATTCACGTTCAATAGTTTAGCAACATTCATCGGTGCAGTAAGTACGCTTCTCATTCATACATTAAAACTCAGTCTTCTAAGTCAGTTATAACGTAGGACCGACCACATATATGCATCGGTCGAAGTTACAACACCTCATTAGCACAACAAGATGAACTCCAAACTCATAAAAGTAGTCACTTCAATGGTAGTACTATGTAAAAGAAAGATTGTGTATAATGATATAATACAGGAAGAAAGAATCAGTTGGTAGAAAGAAAGATATAAAGCAATGTTGGTCTCACAGTTTAAGGGACCACTAAGAGTGTATACACCCACATCATTGTGATCGATTCTCAGCCATGTCACACACACAGTCTCTAACTATTGGTTATGATAGTTACGCGGACTCCAACAAAGTAGTCTGCATCTACCATCCACATGGCTCACAGCACAAGTTAGTGACTTCTTGGACTGATAACACGTTGTGGTTTGGCCACCCCTAACATTCTTCCAACCATCCTCAACACTAGTCAGCATTGCGCGTCGTGGTAATCGGTGTTCACGTGGTCCAACCATCTCAGGCGATGAAGATTTACAACCTCCAACTGGTTTGCAATCATTCTCTAATACCCTGCGCGTCTAACCTCACTATTACTTATCTGGTGATCCCAGCATATACGAGCTATATTTCTAAGACGTCTGTGATCAAATAGTAGTAGCACACGAGTATTTTCTACTCCTAATGGCCACGTTTCGCAGCTGTAAAGTAGAACAGAACAAACTACTGCACAGTATACTAGTCCCTCAATTGATAGGCAGATATCCCGTCTTCGCCATAGGTGACGTAAGTTGGCAAAAGCCAAACGAACTTTCTGAATCGGTGTAGAGATTTCGTCAGACACCAACCCGTTAGGGCTGATCAGACTTCCAGACTTCTCAACCATTACAACATAACCTGTTGAAAAGTGAATAGATTTTGATACATCTTAATTATAACATTCAATGATAGCTAGTGATTAAATAAATCTCAACATTGATACAAATAACTGGTTCTGTTTTTTCAAACATCAGCCATGAGGTTTATCCAATGGGGGAATAAATATAAATTCAATATTTCCTTAAACCGGCTAACAACACGGTGTTAATGTCTAACTTCAACCAATCTACGAAATTACGCGACCATCTTCCATTGTCTGAGGTATATACCTGTTTCTACCTGACACGGATTAACTCTACTGGATGCGCACTGTTGAAGAGTCCCATACTATGAATAAATATAACTGATCAATATGATAATTATTACTAACCTTTTGTTTATTTAAAGAGTCCAATTGGTGAGCTTTTATAACTGAACATGAATTTTTAGAATTTGACAAATATAAATGATTAACTAATTGACCAAGACGTGTAATAAAACAATGAAATGATCCATTTTCACTGTGATTAAATGTAGAATGATGTTGTTTAGATTGATTATTGACCATTGAATGTATACAACGATTGACAATGAGAAGTACTACAGGAGAAATCCTTTCATTAGTAGTTTGCCTTTGATGATTTGTATATCTACAATTAATAAACAGTAAACGTGCTTGCCAAATTTAGTTGAACATGTACAAGTTTCAAGCATTATTTCAAAAATGTTGTAAAGTAGGTACACGATTCTCTCCCAGATATCCTGGTACGATCGAGAGTGGGAAGAACTCGCTCGCCCTCTCCAAATGCTCTCACATAGCCACGTGCATACAACCAATGCCAGAGAAGTTTTACTCACCACCTTTTCGCGGCATTACTGTTGTTTACGCAATTGAGAGCAAGAAAAGCGAATATTCATTGCTTTAATCGGGTTGGTGGGTATGGACGATCTATCTAAGGGACTTCGAAAACCCTGATTCTAAACCAGTGGTGCACATACGCTCCTAGATTCTGACCGAACAGATGGCGTATGTATGAACCAATCGTTGGTCACCGATTACCATTGGACTGCACCTCCTAACGTTCCTCCACTGTCTTGTGGACTAGACCTTTAAGTCGGAGGCTCCGGGTGTGTCCGCCTAAGAAAAACACCTGCTTAGGTCTGGGCATCCAGACAGCATTACAGCCCACAAATTAAGTGACTTATGTGGTGCATATGTATTCGGTGCCCCTTTGTACCAATATTTATGTGTTCAAACAAATAAATAGATAAACAAAGCGTTTCTGAATAAAATATTTAATAAGATTGTAAATTAGTTTTGGATTATACCATGGAAATGTTTAGTAAGTGTTAGAAAACACTAAAGTCCGTGAAAAGTCAGTCAAAATTAGACAAAAAAATAGATAGCTAAATCTCTACTTTAAATTTGTTAAACAGTTCATCTAGAAGCTGACATCCTTGATGAGTGATTCTCAACGATATTTCGAAATTCTTTCGCCGTCGTTTTAGTTATTGGGTGGAGGGCCTGAGCTAGAGAAAAATGTGTATGCTCAACTCTTAATCTTGTTAATTTTCACCTTCGTAGTGATGATTCGAAATGCGGCAACTTGGGCTGATGCATAAACGTTTCAGCTTGTATGGTGCACATAACTGACTGCTTCGATTATACGCTAATGTAAAAACATTCTATTTCTCTAACTTACCTGACACTAAGTAAATCAAATCCACGACCTTCAAGCCTTGTATAATGGTGATCAATATATCATCTAATTATATGATCTAAATTCATTGGTTCTACTTTTCACTTTAGCCAGTTATATCTTAAGAATAATTGTTTAGTAGGCCAGTCAAATAAACGGTATTTTTATTGAGGTCATGAATCGGTAAATGTTAGACCACCATTAAAAACCTGGAAGTACTGGAAGGCCGTTTCGTCCTAGTATAGCACTCCTCAGCAGTGCACACCTGTGATCCTACCCGTGGGACTCGAACTCAAGATCTTCGGTTTTGCGCGCGAACGCTTAACCGCTAGACTACTGAGTCGGGATCCAATGGTGTTAATATCTGACTTCAACCAATCCACGAAATTGTGCAACCATCTTCCGTTGTCTGAGGTGTATACCTGTCTCTGCCTGACACGGATTAACTCCATTGGATGCGCACTACTGAGGAGTCCCATGATACGACAAAACGGCTGGCAAGTACTTTAAGGTTTTCATTAATGGTCTAACGTTGAACGACTCATGATCTCAATCAAAAACTTAACAATCTCCACAACCCCACAATGATAAAAAGGTATTTCTGTAGAGCTGAAGATTTTCAAAAATGTTGAATTCAAAGGTAATAAAGTTGCGGAAATCTTAAGGAGCTAATCATTAATCATCTAAAACGACCCATATGTTTCCTAAGATTTACTTACTCATGTTGAAATGGTGATTCTAAAGCAGAACGAATTTGAGCCCAAAGTCGTTTATGTTGACCTTGAAATTCTTGGGATAACTGATTGGTTAGATTTTGTGTTCTGATTTTTTTTACAGATGATAAAGATTGTTCATGAACAGAAGGAGATGATGGTGATGTAAGTGAAATGAACACTAAAATGAAGATTTTTATTTATTTATAAAAAACGATTGAATATTCATGAATGCTAAATCACTTTTGAGAAAAAACTAATGTTGTATTAAATATCAGTCAGTCAACAACGTAGAATTTCTTACGTACGTACATCAGTTCGAGTTGTCATAACACGTTAGCACAGAGATGCAGTTGTCGATTCAAATCCCGTAGTGGTAGAGGTAGTAAGAGTAAAATCAGTAATTGGAAAGATTAGGGTTCGAAGATGTTATTCAAGGAGTATAATCCAGTGAAATTAATTTGGAAAGAGGAAAAATAAGGGACATGAAGAATTCAGAAGATTAGAATTTGGGAGAACACAAAGAGTAGATGCACCTGCACTACTGCAAACGATTTTGAGCCATGTCATTCAGGGTCTCTAACCATCGGTTGTTATCGTCTCGCGGATCCCAACCAGGTAGTCTACACCTACCAATACGGCTCAGTTCACTTGTCAGTGACTTCATGGATTTGTGCCATGTTTTGGTCTGGTCGCCCCTAGCTTTCTTCCAACCTATTTCTACACCATAAAACATCGCAAGTCGGAGCAGTCGGTCGTTGGGCATACTTAACACGTGTCTCAGGCATCTCAACTGATGAAGTTTTATTACTTCATCAATTGATTTGCCATACTTACCTAGTACCCGTTTCCTAACAAATGCATTACTTACTTGGTGGTCCCAGGATATACGAGCAATATTTCGAAGACACCTATGATCAAATACTAGTAACCTATGAATATCTTCTACTCTTACCGGCCATGTTTCACTGCCATAAAGTAGGATGGAACGAACTGCTGCACAGTAAACTCGTCCTTTGGTTGATAGACGAATATCTCGCCTACGCCATAAATGACGCAAGTTGGCGAAAGCTAGTCGAGACTTCTGTATCGGTGATGAGATTTCGTCACACACCAGACCAAAAGGATTGATGATACTCCCAAGATTAGTGAAGTGGTCGACACACTCAACTACTTCACTCCCTATCATTAGTTCGGGTGTCGATGCAACCCAATCCGCAAGTAACATTTCGCATTTCGAGGGGGAGGATCTCATCCCGAGCATGCTTGCATTTTTGCTTAGATATAAATAAATATAAATAATAATAATAATATATAAATAAATGATAATCATAAATAACAACAAACATAAATATAAATAAAAACAAACAAGAATATCAGTTTAATAAGATTCAGAGTTAATATCAACAAAAAGAACCAAATTAATGTATTATCAAATATCAGAAAGGGTTTTTTTGGATATTATAATAATTTAATTGTTGAGATCATGATTCAATAGGTCTTGGGTTCGAATCTCGCGAGGCGGGATTGTGCAACCATCTTCTATTGTCTGAGGTAGATACATGTCTCTACCTGACACGGATTAACTCCACTGGATGCGCACTGCTGAGGAGTCCCATAATATGGCTCAGGACGTTTAAAATGATAAAACATGTTAGATGTTCAATTAATTCTATACAGACTGTATATAACAGGTAAGTCTCTAAATTCTAATCCTGAAAGAAACCTTTATATGGTGGTACCGTACTTTATAAACGAAACAATCCGATTTCAGATAATGCCTACTAAGATTTTGAGTGTAATGTATTCATTTATTGTTAGGTCCCGATAAATATAATGAATGATAACTTTGGGATCCAATTATGGACCAATACTATACGTACATTTTTGTCGTATAATTGTTAAATAACTAAACTATTGATATTCATATTCCTCTTATTATAAACTTTATTTTGACCTGTGAACCACTATTATACGTTTTACCATTCCTGAATTATGCCGTCTATTAGTCACCGCGTCACACATTCACAGTCACATTTGGCCAAATTTTGTACAAATGTTATTTTTTTATTTTATGCTACGTTATGGTCTGTTTGATTGGTATATAAATTCAGTATGTTTGGAACATAATGATTCATATTCCAGAGGCTGAGACTAGTGTTTTGGACTTAACTGGCTGGGCTACGCGGAAAGCAGGACCAATCAGGACTCTAGGCTGCTCGCACGTGTCTTACGTGTCCTTGATCCGATCGATAATTTGATACTTCTGATTGGCGCCTTTGGGCTATAACATTTATATGGTTACAAACTCCTTTCGTTTGATGGCTAGTGTCAGCTAGTGATGAAAACATTAACTCTAAATTCTGGAGCGGGTTTAAAGAAAGCTAGGGGCGGCCAGACCAAAACATGGCACAAATCCATGAAGTCACTGACAAGTGAACTGAGCCGTATTGGTAGGTGTAGACTACCTGGTTGGGATCCGCGAGACGATAACAACCGATGGTTAGAGACCCTGAATGACATGGCTCAAAATCGTTTGCAGTAGTGCAGGTGCATCTACTCTTTGTGTTCTCCCAAATTCTAATCTTCTGAATTCTTCATGTCCCTTATTTTCCTCTTTCCAAATTTATTTCACTGGATTATACTCCTTGAATAACATCTTCGAATCCTAATCTTCCGATTACTGCTTATACTTTTACTACCACTACCACTATGGGATTTGAACCAACAATCGTATCTTTGTGCTAATGTGGTATGACAACTCGAACTGATGTTCGTACGTACGAAGTTCTACGTTGTTACTGACAGAACTCTAAATTCCTAATCTAAACCTCATGCCGCTTCGGTGAATGCAGTTCTCATTATTTAATTGTTTAGATTATTATTTCACTGTCAGTTATAAATTCCTTTTCTTCATTCCTATATCGCTTTTAGAGCTTTACTCATTTTCTTCGGTTGATCCGTCAGTTTTTATCGTCGTTATTAAATGATTCTCAACATTCATTTCTATTAGCGAAGACGGATGGTGGCTAGCATTGGACTCGTCAGCTGGATGTACCTGCATCTCAGAGTTGATGTTCACTCCGGGACTCGAACCCAAGACTGTTCGCTTCAAACGCTATCGCGTTATCCACTTAGCTACTGAGTCCTGATAGCCATTTGCTTGTGCGATGTAGTTAAATCTAAATACACGTTGTTGTTTGCTTTTATGTTTCGATTGTTTCTTATAAAGCATGTGACTTCAGGCAATATCGAAACAATCTGTACAGGATGCCAACAAGGGACTAATCAATTGTAGTCCTAAACAACAATGGAAAGTTACAAGTAAACAACAAGTGAATTCATTTTTACAATTTGTAACTTATTCCTATTGGTTTTTATTACTTCCCAGAGTTTTTTATATTTAACTAACACCTAAATAATTTTAGAATTCTTTCATATTTATATTGCCGTTTTCTTACTAATTTTCATTAATATAGGGTATTTACATCATTTCTTAAAATAATCAGTACCATAGCTTGGATATTTTAAGTTATTTATTTAAACATATAAACATTGACACAAGAAAGGAACCAAACAGATATGCGCCACATAAATCATTCGATTTATGTCAGGGATGGGATACTGCTCGGGTTCCCGGACCGAAGCTGGTGGTTTTATTAGAGGGCCACATCCGGAGCCTTCGACCTAAAGGTCTGATACACAGGACAGTGGAGCAACGTCAGGAGATGGAATCCCATGGTAGCCGGTGACCAACAATTGGTTCATGCGCCATTTGTTCCTTCAGGATACTAGAGCCCATGTGCGCCGTTGGTTTAGAATCAGGGACCAGGTAGTAAGACTTCGTTGGATGTGGCTATATAAGCGTGGTCATGTGAGGTCACTTCGAGGAGAGCGAACTCTCCCCACCCTCGACTGTACCAAGACATTTGGGGGTATATGTTTTAAGAGAATCTATGAAATAAATTAATTGAAAAAGTTGTAGGATAATAGCTGAATCAAATAAAATGAATATGTGAGAAAGGAAATCTATGTCATTTTTAATATAACTTGATGATTTTAATGCATGTAGAGCATATTTAGTTAAGTTTCCTTGGCACGGTCGAGTAGAGAGTCAGCTCTCCCTTTCCAAATGCTCTCACATAGCCACATGCATACAACTACTGCCACGTAAGTCCTACTTACTACCTTCTCAAGGTACTACTGTTGTCTACGAAATTGAGGGGATGAAAGTCTAATGTCCGGCGATTTAACCGGGTTGGTGGATATGGAGGATCCACCTAAGGGAGTTGGAAAACCCTGATTTCAAGCCAATGGTGCACATGGGCTCCAGTATCCTGAAGGAACAAATGGCGCATGGACCAATTGTTGGTCACCGGCTACCATGGGATTCCATCTCCTGACGTTGCTCCACTGTCCTGTGTATCAGACCTTTAGGTCGAAGGCTCCGGATGTGGCCCTCTAATAAAACCACCAGCTTCGGTCCGGGAACCCGAGCAGTATCCCATCCCTGACATAAATCGAATGATTTATGTGGCGCATATCTGTTTGGTTCCTTTCTTGTGTCAATATTTATATGTTTAAATAAATAAATAAGTTTTAAACAAACGAGTCAAATGAATTCTTATGAAGAAAATTATAACTTACTTGAATATATGTAAAATACAAATATAATTGATGGAATACAAATAATAATTGATAATGGTCCAATATATGTACATTTTTTCGTTGAAATTTCATTGTTAACATAATCTGAATTTATACTATCATCATCACTATCATTATCTTCTTCACGTATATATACATGTTCCATAAATCGTCTAACAGATGATGAACCATTATGATGATCTGAATAATGTCTCATACATTCAATTTGTGTTATACTATTATTATTTGAAGAATTTTTTAATATATCTGAATCAAATATCAAGGAACTACTGTTTGAATCTGAATTCTGATAGAAGTCACCATCATCATTAATTGAATTATAATGACGATGTTTTAATTCATTATCTAATGGAAATTCTTTTGATATTCTTAATTGTTGTTCAGGTGATAATGATAATGATGAAGACTGGGATGAATACTAAAATTAAAGTGAAATATATGTAAGTACAGACAGACATGAGAAGAATGAATTTTTTTGGATAGAACTAGAAAGGAAGGCTCATGACAGAGTGGGTTGGAGAATGCTAGTCGGCGACCTCTGTTCCATTGGGAGTAACAGGCGTAAGTAAGTACAGTAGGCGATCACATTACTATGTGTGAACACATGTGTAGACAAAAAACGGACTTGTTTCATCACATAAGTAATTTAATCTAATACAGTTCAGTAACCACATATAGGCTCATGTATTCGACTTTGATTAAAACATTTGATGTGAAAGCTATCGATATTATTTGACTGCTTGAACAGAAACAGATGGATAGCGCTGAATCTCACATAAGTGAAAGTTGATTGATTTAACCAGTAATTCAATAACAATTAACAGTAGATAAGTTTCCGATAAATAGCTTTTGCTAACAATATTACTTAAATAATCCAACACGATTAACATAAGTGCGTAATTTACCCGAACCGATGGAAGTCAAATATTTTTGAAGATCCATCTAAAGCAAAATAATTAAAAATATCTCGAACTACTGTGAACGTCACCAAAAAGTCGGTATTTCTACTGTTGATTACCATTTACACAAAGACAACAACTGGGAAGTCTTCATCACAAAGCACAATACTAATAATCGTTATACGCATCTCAGTTAATAATTCATAGTCTGATTGACCTATTCTTTTTCAACATCGCCACCTTCACCCTGCCTTGCCCCAACTTCATATTGCTTATTCGGCCGGTCTTCACCCAATAGGTACCTAGTTTGTGAAATTTCGGCACCCTGTAAGAACGTAATGTGGTTTCGAATTTGGGATATAAGGTAGGCAATAAGTAAACGCCAATAGAAGGCTTTAATTCTTTTAGAAGTTCACTTATCTCAGACTCATCCCTATTTTCAACTAATGGAAGAATGTCTTGAAATCTCGACTCATGGCACTTAAGCTAGACAAAAAGATTTCCTGATAATCCCGTAGAGTTGACAAATCTACAAATTGAATCGGCAACAGCAGTACATGCTGTTTTTAATAATCATCAAATCGCTATTAAAAATATGGGAATAACTCGGAAAGGCTTTCCCAACTATAAAGAGAGGCAAACAGTCAAGGCGTTTCATAGAATGCTAAATCCATTTGCACTCAATAGTGGTAGTTCAATAGAAACAACACCACGATTTAACTACTAATTTTTCCCGACGACCTACCGAAAAGCTTATGGACCTCAGACATTATTGTTTCAACTCATTCAACACGTTACAGTATTCTTAGTTTCAATGAAGTTATGAGGGATGAGGTCAGTATCTTATCCATATTGTGTATGGATTATGGACAATTATAATACAGATGTACTACAAATGAACTGATCTGTAAAGTATTCAGTCAGTTAAAAGCAACGTAGAAACTAGTGAAAATGTGCATCGATACGGGTTTTTACACTATCAGCACAGTTAAACAAATTTATGATGAACACTACAGTATCCGTACCATTAATAGCAAAAGAGATTTAGGGGTAGAGAATACGATTCACAGAAAAAAGTGAATTCACGGAACAAAAGTTAAAAAATAATTTTGAAAATGAGCATCAAGTTGTTACATCTAGTCTCATTTACCTTCAACCGGAATATCGTGTAAGACCTCCAGGAACAAGTGTTCCAGTCCGTGTATAGAGACTGAGTCAACTCAATGATCAAAGCCAACCACCGCGTCAAGGTAGCAGCTGCGGCTAGATGTGACAATAACAGGAGGGAGTACAAATATAACATACGGCTCTCACTGAATCTGGTACACAACAATGGATTGTTTCATCCCCCCTGGCAGGTCAGGCAACCCGACAATCACGAAAATACCATCCGAGCATTCGACAAACTAGGTACTCAACAAAACATCCCAACTCTCCACTCACAAACGTTACCAGTGACATAAGTGTTTTATACTTTATAACCAAGAAAATGGCTTCAGAAAACGACTTGCAGTTTTGCGAATCATACGGTTTTATCAACACATTAATCTTTCAGAAATCACAACAGTAAGTATAAATGAATGTGTATTGAATACCTGGGTACATATATATTTACAAACGTTTTAAAGTTAGAATCGAATCTTTTGTGCAAGAATGTATAAATAGAAAATAACTACTCTGAACAATGATCAATATCAACAGGTAAACAAGAAGTCAGCTCTAACGATCGATCATTAATAAGACCAGTAAGAAAATCGAATGTTTTCAGTGTAGATATATTTCGACCCTTAGTAAAACAAGAGTGTGATTGGTGGACGTCGATTGATTGAATTTGTTCGTCGACTTTATTAATTGATGCTTCATAAGCTGTAACATCATCGTTTAAATCCACCAACTCATATTTAACATCACAGTTGGAATCCTCAAAATTCTCATGGCTTTTTAATAATTCCTACCAAAAAATAAATAGGTCACAAGTTAAAAACCAAATATATACAGCACCAAAATATTTATTAATATCAAAAACAGTAAAAGATAGTTAACGGAAAAGCACTGAATACCAAATAGTACTGGAAAATTATTTCTTGGTCCCAAACTTTTTAGCATACTGCACCAAGATCAAACAAAACATTTGTGTTTGGAGGTGAACACAATGTCGAAAAGTACAGGATGTAGAATTGAAAGCAGTCAATCTCAAGTTTAAGGGTAGGAGACAGATGTCCACCGTTTCCTGGTTTACAACTGTCAGTTAGTGATGAAAGTCAAATCCAAATTGTTAAAAAACCTTAAATGCTACTTTCGTGAGTGTTATCAGACTAAAACGGAGAAGGCGCTGACCACACATGGTCTTGTCACACTTACCTACTGTCTTCACCTAAAATAAATGATAAAAACCATACTAGCTCCTTCATTAGGTAATTGGGTATGAGTCACATTAAGGTGTGAGGGATAGTGGTACTAGCCAGTGACCAAAAGCAAAGGGAACACGACTTTTGTGATTCCGTTCAATGCCAGGGATAATTTGCAGGCATCTATAATGATATACTTGTGACTGGTGAAAGTCCTCTACTCTCATAAACCACCTTTTACAGCATCAAATTAATGTAAAATGAACTAACACACAGTATACTTTCATTCTAATTAGAAAGCGAACACGCTCTACAGTAGCCAAAAGATATTAGTATATCTGTGCCAAGATAGCAACCAGCCTACCACGGTACTTAAAACATCTAAAATAATTAAAGAAACTAATGTCTCAAGCAATTTCACTGAACAAGGTTAAGCTAGACATGAACCCATCCAGACCAGCCCAGAATTTAGAGGTACGGAGACGAATATTCCCGCGTTACTATTCGAAGAATTCAGGAGATTGTTTTTGTCAGTGTCTTCGCCAAGTAGAATTGTCATCTGAATACTCTCAATCAACAAGTTGAAACTGGATGAGATGAATCATCTTTTACATCCACTGCTTCAATCCAAAACCCAAGAACATATAGTCGTATTTTTCAGAAGCGCAGTTGTCGCATTCTGAATCTTTACTCTATATTAATTACTTGCAAGCAAATTTCCCGGACTAGGATCATCTGTAGGTGGGTAGAACACTTCAAAGAACTCTTGAATCGACCAGCCCCACTGAACCCACCCAACAATTGAAGAAATCAGCATGGCCATCAAATAAATCAAGAGTGGTAAAGCAGCAGGACCAGACAACATTCCAGCAGAGGCACTAAAAGCAGACGTAGCAGCAACTGCAAGGATACTCCACATTCTCTTTAATAAGATTTGGGATGAGGAACAAGTACCAACAAACTGGAAAGAAGAACTTCTGATCAAAATACCAAAGAAAGGCAATCTCACCAACTGTGATAACTACAGGGGCATCACTTTCTCTCAATACCAGGTAAAGTCTTCAACAGGGTATTGTTAAACAGGATGAAGGATTCCGTAGACGCCCAACTTCGAGACCAACAGGCCGTATTCCATAAGGATCGATCATGTAAAAACCAAATCGCAACACTATGGGTCATTGTGGAACAATCAATTGAATGGAACTCATCACTCTACATCAACTTCATTGACTACGAAAAAGCATTTGACAGCGTGGGCAGGACAACACTATCAAAGCTCCTTCGACACTACGGCGTACCTGAGAAAATAGTCAATATCATACGAAATTCTTATGATCCATCAAACTGGAAAATCGTGGATGGAGGACAATTGACAGACTCGTTCAAAGTAAAGATGGGTGTCAGGCAAGGTTGCTTACTCTCGTCCTTTCTCTTTCGCCTGGTGATAGACTGGATCATGAAGACGTCAACATCTGAAGGGAAACACGGGATACAATGAACATCTAGGATGCATTTGGACGACCTAGACTTCGCAGATGATCTGGCCCTTCTACCCCAGACGCAACAACAACTGAAGGAGAAGACGACCAGTGTAGCAGCAGCCTCAGCAGCAATAGATCTCAATATACACAAAGGGAAGAGCAAGGTTCTCCGATACAACACAGCATGCACCAATCCAATCACAATTGACGGAGAAGATTTGGAAGATGCAAAAACCTTTACATATCTGAGCAGCATGATTGATGAGCACAGTGGATCGACAAAACAAGAGCAGCGTATCTGTAATTGAAGAATATCTGGAACTCAAAACAATTGTCTGTCGACCAACACCAAAGTGAGAATTTTCAATACAAATGTCAAAACAGTTCTACTGTATGGAGAACTACGAAAGCCGTCATCCAGAAGATACAATTGTTTATTAACAGTTGTCTATGCAAAATACTTCAGATCCGTTGGCCAGACACTATCAACAACAACCTAGTGTAGAAGAGAACAAACCAGATCCCAGCGGAGGAAGAAATCAGGAATAAGTGTTGGAAGTGGAGAGGACACAGATTGAGGAAAGTACCAAACTGCATCACAGGGCAAGCCCTCACATGGAATCCTCAAGGCCAAAGGAGGAGAGGAAGACCAAAGAACACATTACGCCGAAAAATGGAAATAGACATGAGAAAAATGAACAAGAATTGGATGAAACTAGAAAAGAAGGCCCAGTATAGAGTGGGTTAGAGAATGCTGGTCGGCGACCTATGCTCCATTGGGAGTAACAGGCATAAGTAAGAAGTTAGTAAGGATCATCTGTCAAAATTTGTTCATGGAACAAGATCATTATCATAACTTGTTAGCTATTTCGATGGTTACCCCTACTCTAAAACATCATACACCTGTGGCTATGATCCGTTCAACTCGTGAAAAAAATACGAACATAAACTTTATATTACTAGACTTCGCAGATATTTTAAATGTACATTACTCTTGGGTGACTATATATTTAGATTAGGTAATAAAACAAGCTAGCACTGGTATAACCCGACCCACCAGGTTAACTTTGTCCTTGCTTTATGCTCACTTCTAACTAACTAGCTGTAGATTATAGTTACTACACAATTTCACCAGAATAGCCTTTCGACACTGCACATGTTCCATTCCCACTAGCATCTAGGAATAAGTGGGTGCCGACTTTTGCCCTGCATTACTATAAATCTTGAGAAAATTGTCTTTTCGAAGGAATGCATAAACATTTATTCAGACAGTCTAACTTTATATCTCTGTCAATTATGTGTAACATGGATTTTTAGATCAACCTGGACATGCTTGTAAATCAGTAGATATTTAACTATTTCTATAACAGAACCTACTTATCATGAAATAGAACAATTGAGAATACCATTAGCATAACTGATGTGAACAAAACAAATACTTCTAATTTTGTCAGCACTTATATTTTAACTATCGAAATATCATGAGTGAGTGTGTTTATGTTTAGTAGTGTGTCAACGATGATGTTGATGACTCAATAACCTGTGTGTGATGAATGACTTTAGTTAGGGACATCTGTTAACAAATGTGATAGCTGGACAACCGAATAAGAGTAGCCTGTAGATCAAAGAACTCGGGACAAAACGATGTGGCTTAATTTCCAAGTACAGACACATACACTATACTGTGTGTTATATTTTAGTTGCATAAAATTTAATGTCACTACCGGACTGTCAGAGCTGAAGTGGAAGGTAGTTTCAGACGGCCGAAAGTTGAATGCTCAGATCGACGCTTAGCATAAAAACACCGCTTCGAGTTATTTCTTCAAAATCTTTTTAAATTTTTAGCAGTACGATCAAATTATTATATGACTGGATAGACTCCCTACAAAACGTTTATGTTTCCCTGGTAAGTTAGCTAATAAAAACTATGTCCTGGTGGTTCCTCTTGAAACAGTGACGAAGATTACCCGGACAATATGACTTACGTCTTCTGCAGAGATATATGTCATACAATCCTCTTCACAAAATTCGTCATCGTTTGGATTCGCAAGGGTGTTCAAAGCCAATAGTTCCATCTTCATGCGGTTATCAAGATCATGGATTTCGAGCAGGGCTGATTCTAAGAGTTTAATTCTATGAGCAACTTGATGGTTTAGAAACCTAGCGACTGATTTCTTAATTTTGACCGACATTGACGAGCACGGTAAAAAGGTTAGATTCTTTCAAAATACCCCGCCGTTTCGTTAAGACGACCTTGAAGGGTCTGACAGCAGGTATGGTTCAAATGGTTCAAATGGTTGTGGACGGAATAGAAAAAGCTTTCGCTTAACAGGCTTCCGTGTCTAGTAGCAGGGGATCACCAAATCCTCCAGGCAGGAACCCAGGTATGTTAACAATAAAAGAGGAAAAGAAATTGGTAAATCATAGTGTGATACTGTCCTTGGTCCTTAAGAATAGGTCAAGTTGCTTCTTGAAGGACTCCTGAGAAGTCGCTTGGACTAGCTTGGCTGGCAGCGAATTCCACCTTTTGACAACTCTTAAGGAGTAGAAGTTGTGTGTACATCCCGTCTTGCTGTGTTGAGTTTCCAGTTTCTGGGTGTTGCCCTTTATGTTATTATTCGAACTAAGCTTAAGTATATGTTTAAGAGGATGTCCAGAAGTGTTAAGAATACTATAAGCCATTAATAAATCACCTCTAAGACGCCTATACTCTAATGGGTAAAGGTCTAGTGAATGGAGGCGTTCTTCGTAAGGCTTAGATTTGAGTCCGCGAACTGATTTCGTGGCTCGCCGTTGGATACGCTCCAAAGTGACCTTGTCTTTTTGCGACATGTCGCAGATGAACTACTTTACACTTTGAAGTGTTAAATGTAAGTTCGTTATCGTCTGCCCAACTTTGAAGTCGAGTCAGATCCTCCTGAAGTGCCTGTGTATCGTCTTGGTTGCGTATCTCTCACCAAAGTTTCACGTCGTCGGCAAAAAGTAATAAGTCTGACGTTACCTGTTGAGGAAGATCGTTTATGTAGATCAAGAAGAGAAGAGGCCCTAATACTGAGTCCTGTGGGACTCCACTAGGACATTCCGTAGCCTGAGATAAAGTGAAATTAACCCTAACCTTAAAGTGTCTATTTTCTAGGTATGAACTAAGCCAATCGATTAGAGGTGGTTTGATACCTAGTCGTTTGAGCTTATTGATAAGACACAAGTGGTTAACTTTATCAAAAGCTTTTGAGAAATCAAGGTAGATGATATCAACCTTTCCCTTGTGATCGAGGATGCTTGTCCATCAGTCCACCGCAGTCAGCAGGTTGGTTATACAAGAGTAACCCTTCCTGAAACCATGCTGTTGGGGTGAGAAGAAGTTTAAGGACAGTAGATAATCGCATATCAGGAACTCCATGAGTTTTGAAGGTAATGACAGAAGAGCCACCGGCCGATAACTTTAAGGTTCATTGCGTCGACCCCCTTTGAAAATTGGTGTGATGTGAGCCAACTTCCAATTTCCCGGTAGTTTGCCTCGGCTTAGCGAGTGTGAAAACATCACGCTAAGCGGCGTTGCCAGGATTGAGGCTGCCTCCCTCAGTATGGCAGAATGAACCATATCCGGGCCAGGAGAAGTATCTAGTCTTAAGTGCTGCAGTTTCCGGAACACCAAGTCAGCGCTTAGATTCACTTCGGAAAGCCCTGTGGAATTACAGGTGAAACTGTCGTCAATAGAGTTGATGTCAGCCAGCTGAAATGTTTGAGAGTAATGTGCCGCCAGAAGGTTAGCGGCGTCACCATCGTTGTTGGTTGGGCCGTTAAGACCTACCAGTTGGGAGACTCCAGTCTTGGCTTGACGAAGAGAGGCTGCATAACGGAATAGGCTTCTAGGGTTCGAGGCAAATTTGTCCATAAGCTTTGTCTGGTAATGAAGCCTGTCTTCTCTTATAGCCCTCGTGCATATGTTCCTGATATGTTTATATTGCCTATAAGCTCCGTCGTTGTCAGTTCGTTTGTATTCCGCCCAACAGTGCCTTTTACGGCTTAGCAGGCGAAGGGTACGGTTCTTGATTACTGTAGTTGGCTTACAGCTTTCGAGAACCGTTTGAGAAACTGAATGGTTTGTAGCACATAAGAGCGTGTGCAGTAAGAAGTCCCAATGACCGTCCACATCGAGTTGGGGGTGAAAATCCCAAACCACCTGTTGTAGATAGTCGTGTAGAGCTGGCACATTCAGCCGTTTAAAATTCCAACGCAAATTATTGTTGGGATACCTTAGCTTAGTTTTGGCGACAAAACTGAAGGCTATGACAGCATGATCGCTCTTTCCCAAAGGAGCCAGGATTGAGAGGTTGTCAACTAGGCATTCTTCGTTTGTGAATACACAGTCTAACCGCGATGGTGTCTGACTGTTTCTCCAACGAGTTGCCGACCTCACATTTTCATATAAGCCCAAGTCATCGATGAGGTTGAAGAACCGAGCTTCAATTGAGTTGTCGCCTCCAGTATACGTGTGTTCCACGAAGTTGACTCTGGGAAAATTAAAGTCCCCTAGAATCAGGATGTGTGTGAAACCGAGACAGGTAGAGCGGGATAGTCCTTCCAGCATACGACTATCGTACTCGTTGTCGGCAGTTGGCTTCCTGTAAATGACACCGACTAGACACCTTGAAGTACTAGACAATCTTACAGAGCACCATATGGATTCCTCAAGATTGTTAAACTCGAGGTTGTGAACTTGGTGCACCTCCAAGCAAGAGCTTATGTATATGGCTACTCCGCCCCCAATTCCTGTTGTTCTGTCGTTGCGGAACAAAGTCATCCCAGGTAATGCTAACTCTTGGTCCGAGAACTGAGAAGATATCCAGGTTTCAGATATTCCTATCAGGTGGGCTTTATTAGCGTTGCAAAGTTCACGTAATTCATCCAGTTTGTTTGGTAGACTCGAGGCGTTCGTATATAAGCAGTTTATGCTTTTAATTTGGAACGCGTGAGCTTCGTCCTGTTTTTCTGTATGAGCCTTATGTGAATGGACAGGTAGCCCACCTATATGAGGTTTGCCGAGGTGGTAGGCTCTGTCCTTTACATGTTTTTTTATCGTTTAGACAATCCACAAGTGGAATGGTCAGTTCCAACTTGCCTTTGTGCTTGGTCTTGGCTTCATATGGCCTATCCGGGTGCATGTTGATTCCAGGTGGCAATCGACGTCTGTTGGCAGGAAATGCTTCCAGAACTGCAGCCGCCATGTGGGAAGATGGGAAGGTTATCTTCATTAGACGGGATCTAAGATCACCGTCATTCTTGGCTAATCTCATCACATGCTGAGTCAGTATGTGTTTGAGCCTCAAGGACTGGTTGATGAATTTCCATTCACTGATGTCAGAATTTGATTGAGTAGAGTTTTCATTTTCCGGTATATCTTGCACAATAATGTTTTTTTCGGCGGAAAAACTTCTCGCGAGATTCTTTAGGGATGTTTCGTATGATATTGCGCTCAGAGAACGGTATGTCGGGCAAGTGACTTGCTAGTAAGACGTCCTCTACATCGGTAGCATTCTTAAGTGTTACTCGGATAAACCTTGGGTGATTTAGATGCTTAGAGTCCTTTCCTCGAGAGAGCCGGGTGACCATCAAAGGCTCTATTCTAGGAAGTTCGAGCTTCTTGTTCAATTCACCCCAGAGCATCCTGTCGTTTTTGTCCTCCAGACTGAGAGGAAAGTCAGGATTATCAACGAGGTTCATGATAATGAGAGAATCGTCACGAACTGTTGTTAATTTACCAGGTTTCACGGTGGGTTCATGTTTAATGACTTACTGTTTGGAGGTCAGTGTGCGTTTTTGAGGCTTGGGCTCTTTTTTGACCGGACGAACAGTCTTGGGAGTAGACTGTGCGACCAAATCACCAGTTAATTTCTGTACAGCAACACTTGGGTTGCTTGGCTTATGCGGTGATGCCTGGTTCTCTTGGGCTCTCTTAACGTGGGTCGAATCACCTACAGGGTTTTTGGGAACCACTGTTGTGTTCAGGGACCCTGAGCAGGGAGACCCGAGTTTGCTTAGGGAGGCTAATACCTTCGACGGAATGATGGTGCTGAGCCTCGACACGTCATCATTAATGTTGATGGATGCTCCATCGATGGTATACCTATCGACATCCCTGTTTTTGTATCCATCGCACGCTCTTGTTTGTCTACCGGTTTTCTTACTGTCGTTGTCCAAGTTAACTGACAACTTGTTCCGAAGACCTGTCAATAGGACAATGATGTTACTCAGCAAGACTACAGCATCCGTGCTGCACGTGACACATACCCATTTTTGGTCTGACTTGCTGAGTCTGTTGTAAGCAGTTGATGTCAGATCTGTGCATGCTTCGAGGAACCAGCCTTTGCAGTTTTCGCACTGCATGCCAGCTGCAACAATAAAACGGCATCCCGGACGTTTGCATGAATTTTTCATGACTATGTTTTGGATGCTTGCAAAGCCTAAGACATTTAAAAACACTAAAAAGCACACTGAAAACGGACAGAAATGGATGAAACGAGTGTTATAAACTGAGACTAGTCTATACGTGAAAAACAAAAAAAATCGAATAGTAAGCTGAGGCAAAACCACAGGTAACTATTAAATATGGTGAAACTCAAAAAATAGTAATCTACCAAACGTATAGCTCAGGATAGATTCTTTAGAACTGAAATGGTACTTTTGTTGCGTAAGAACACAGCAAAAGTTTGATAAATGCAAATCACGTTAGTACTAAACTTCCCGTTCTCAAAATTTATCTTTGACACGAAGATCCAAGGCTCAGTTGCAAATTTCAATCCTCACTAAACATAAGTAGTGTACCGGATGTTTTCTGGGTTCCGTATTTGATCTCGAAAGAGAATTACAGGTTATGAAAGGTTTTAATTACTATTATGACATTTCAAAGCTCTGAAACAACTGAAAAAGCAATTGTTTTTGTCACAAGTCTTCAAGGAACAACAATTGGGGTATCTTCTTAAATGGCAATGGAAATAAAATAAACATTAAATTTTCTACATCAGAGATCAGAGGAAGATTATATTGCTGTTTTCTTTAGTACTGAATTCTGAGTTTCTTTTGATCTCTTTGTGTTCTCTCTATATGAGGTGGTTACGGTGGCGGTTATGAACGATATTATGCAAAATTTAATATATATAATATATTTATGACAAGCCTGTATGAGTCAACC